TGACCTAACAAACACACACACACAACAGAATGACTACAGGAGCCAATTCATTAAGGCTCAACAGGTTTTTAAAGTTTTAGAGTAAAAATTTACACAATTAGGAGATCTGCTTTAAATTGGGTGAGAGACTTTGACTTTGACATATGTTTTTCTGTCTATGGCCTGAGACTCTCATAGAACAAATAACTAACACGTAACAGCTGGGTTACTTTTATTTGAGGTGGTTCTTCGAAGCCCAGTCAGAGCTGAACAGTTGCTGCTGCATGCTGCGTAATGAAGCCTCCATAAACATCCATAACAAGCATTCCTGTACATGCGTAGACCTTCAGGTACAATTTAACATCGAAAAAGACAGTCTAGTATGTTACCTACCTTGACCAGCACTACTGTTATCCTCCCGTTGAAGTGTCAAGTTAGACAAAATCCTTAGATAATCCAGGAGAATTCAGTCTGACCTGCTTTCACTCTGCAAAAAAAGGAAGACCTGACAGAGTCTGCGTGAGGCGTTAACCGACTGTGAACTGAGCAGTTGCCACCCTTCAAGTGAGGGACTGAACTGTTCGTCCCGCCTCCTCTACCGCTCGACCAATCAAGACCGATCCTCGTGAGCAAACGCTTAATTCTGAGGACGTAGAGTCCAAATGTGATGACTTGGGAGAGAAAAAGTGACATTGTTCACCTTCAGTCAACGAGGAGAACTCTGGTCCCTAAGGCTGCAGTATTATTCTCATTATGTATTATGACTTGCCAACGTCCTGTAGCCTATATGCCCAGACAGATCTAAAATAAATCAGAGACGTGGTGACTTAAAAACCTATTCTCACGCAGGCCTATAAGCTAAAAACGTGCAAGTAGCAGGTTTGAGATCTGTATGCCAATTAGCGCATCTTATACCCATTCAATAGGCTATATCAAGCTGCAACAAAAAAAGTCTCCATCAGCTTGACTTTGCATGATTGTAGGGTACTCATCAAACTGATTTTACTGGTTCAGATATTTACATAGCCTGCTGTACCTGTTAATTATATAGGCCTGGGTCTTTAATGTTAAAAAAAAGAGAGAGGTGTCAACTTGTATAACATTTTCCCCACACATAATGCTGCGTTATTGGACAATGAGCCACTGTGCCATAAAGAATAAAGGAGTCATGTCCTTTGGAGTATTTTAATCGCTTTGTAATGAGAACATCAGGTGGTTCTGATATTCCCTACAGGCCCAACCTCAACCTCTGAACGCCTCTTTATTATAAAGTAAAGAAACACTAGTACTTTTTTGAAAAGAACATTTAACAGTTATGTAAAGGCGTGACAGATATTATCCTATTCAATATATTTTTATGTTAAGAAATTTATTTTATTTGCTTGCTTGTAGGTTCTGACAGTAGTTTTGTTCTTTTGAAAGGGGGAAAGACAGTTGAATGGCAGCGCCTGTGGACAGAGAACTGGATGTGTTGCCATCATAACCATAACTCAAGCTGGGATGTACTTCTATCTTGCCCACATTGTTATCAGGTTTACTTTAGGGGTGTAATCTGACAGCGAGGACTGGACAGTTGTAAAAATAAATAAAGAAAAAACAAATAAAGAAATCTACTGGGCCTGGCACCCAATGGCAATTCACAGCTTTTGGATGTATTACCTGGTATAAGAGTGGAGTCTGGTTTGTCATGTTTATCGAGGGACCACAACAATGTCACTAATAATGGCGTGGCTGCAGGATGCATTAATTGCCCAACCCTGTGACTGAAATTAAGACAGATTGATATAGTTATAATTGACTGTGTTAGTCTTAGTGTTAGTGCTAATTAGTACTAAACAAAATCACTGGTTATTAACAGTAAATTTTACATCGGAAATAGCATAAAATCAAAAGACTGTATTTACACTGTACAAAATTATAATCCGGAAACCAGTCAATATCTGGTGTGACCACCATTTGACTCACGCAGTGCAACACATCTCCTTCGCATAGAGTTGATCAGGTTGTTTATTGTGGCCTGTGGAATGGTGGTCCACTCTTCTTGGCTGTCCGAACTTGCAGTGAGGTCGAGACCCCGATGAGGAGATTGAGGATGCAGATGAGCTTCCCTGAGATGATTCCTGTCAATTTGTGCAGAAATTCTTTGGTTATGCAAATGGCTTGTTGCAGCAGCTGTCCGGGTAGCTGGTCTCAGACGATCTTGGAGGTGAAGCTGTTGGATGTGGAGGTCCTGGGCTGGTGTGGTTACACGTGGTCTGCGGATGTGAGGCCGGTTGGATGTACTGACAAATTCTCTGAAACACCTTTGGAGACGGCTTGAACATTCAATTGAGGGGCAACAGCTCTGGTGGACATTCAATAGCAGCCAATAGCACGCTCCCTCAAAACTTGTGACATCTGTGCCATTGTGCTGTGTGATGGAACTGCACATTTTCGAGTGGCCTTTTATTGTGGCCAGCCCATAGGTGTCATTTACACATGTCCCCACCACTTCTTGAAATGGCTGATTTTGTCCCCATCACTTTTTGAAAGCATTTGTTAAAAATTTTCTAAGCTTGCAACAAGAAATGTTAAATAAAAAATTATAATGCTTTGAGAAATTTTTTTTACACAATAAAAAAACACACAATGCAATTTAAATATAGAAGAAACAAATGTGCATTGTCCAAAACAAGTTATTTACGATTAAAACAGCTACAGATTACTGAATTATATTCCATATATATTTTTATTTAGAATTGTCACGTCACCTGGATTTTGTGTTTCCCTTTATATAAATAGAGACATTTCCTCCATAAATTGGAACAGAAAATGTCTCATGAATACTGGAAATTAACTGTTTAATGCTCAAAATATTCTTATATGTCAGCATTGATTATTTCTTCAAAATAGTGTTAAAATATATTCTCTTTTTGTTCTCGTGACCCCAATATTGTGCATCCTCACACCCGTAATCTTAGCCTTTATGTCCCCACCACTTTTCAACACAAAGTGACACTCCTTGGCCAGCCTAGGCACACCTGTGCAATACCCATGCTGTCTGATCAGCACCTGTGAGGTGGATGGATTATCTCGGCAAAGGAGAAGTGCTCACCAAGATTTGTGAACAATATTTGAGAGAAATGGGCCTTTTGTGTACATAGAGAAAGTCTTAGATCTTTGAGTTCAGCTCATGATGAATGGGGGCAAAACAAAAGTGTTGCGTTTATAATTTTGTTAAGTGTACCTACACCAGGCCCACACCAAACTAAAACCAATGCAGTCAATTAAACTGCCATGTTGAGTTTTTGTTGTAGGGATGTTTTGATTGAACTTTGTGGTCTTTTTGGTGGCTATACTGGTGCTGTGGTATTGGGTTAAACCAAGGGTGTGTCTAATTTTGTCCACCTCTTTTATGTCAATGAGGGCAAGTTAAATGTTAGTTTTAGGTAAGTGGCAACTGAGTTTTTATCCTAATTGTTCTATGTTCAATTATAGTGATAAATACTTTATTATAGTAGAAAAAAGCCCGTATGGAAATTAAGGCAACACTGTATGTGGCATCCACAGTAAGCATGACCCTTCCAGATGAAATTACATTAGTGTGCCAAATTGTATTAACTTACAATACTTAACTAAGACCAAGAAGAAGAAGAAGTTTTATTTATATAGCGCTTTTCCAGAGCTCAAGGTCGCTTTACGTGGTACATTTACAATAAATTTACACACTAACACACAACTTATAATCACATAGGATACATATAGTCACATTTAAACGAAATACATGTTAAATAGATGTGTTTTTAACTGTGTCTTGAATGTAGCCACAGATTAAATATTTAAAAGTGAAAGGGGCAGTGAATTCCATAATTTTGGAGCATTAACACTAAATGACCTTCCAACTACTGTAGACAACCGGAAACGAGGGATGGACAATAAACCAAGTTTAGTTGATCTGAGAGACCGTGCAGCGCGGTAGGTGAAAAGTAGATCAGACAAATATGGGGGTGCAAGACCATTTAATGCCTTAAATGTTAGAAGCAATACCTTAAAGTGGATATGTGATGTCACGGGTAGCCAGTGAAGGTCATGAAGCACCGGAGTAATGTGAGACCAGGCACTACTAGATGTTTATAATCTTATAGTAGTTATGCATGTTAAATAAAAAATAAAAACCTCAATTAACTTGTCTGTTTGGGTTTTAAGCCTCAGTTTCACCTGCTTCCCTCCAGATGGCAGCTGCAACACAAAACCAACAGAAAACAGCGCCAACGATGTGAGTGCATGCCTGACAGAAATACTGACAACAGAGAATTAGATCAGCTTAAAGGCAGGAGGTCATCTCTCTCAAAAGCACACCGACTGGGGGCGCTATAATAACAGTTTCAACTCAGAACACGTTGTGGGAAACTGGAAATGAGAATATAAAATACGTAACAATAAAAAACACACCTTTTTTTTTTAAGTGTTGGTAAAAATATTTACCAATAATGTTACAACCTATTTCGGGTCTGTGAAAAGAAATATCTAACTAATTGTTTCCTCGTTGTTTTTAATAATGTACCTGAATCAGAGACTGCACTAGAGCAGTTTGGAGGAGATCTTGAGTGACGGCGCATGTTTGCACTCTGTTTTGGGCACTTAGCAGGCAATAGGCTATAGCTATAAACTAATATAGAAAAAATACACATGAGCTAGGAAACAGATTTTCACGACAATTAGCCTACTGAGATCGTGCTTTCAGGGTCCAGATTATTTTTAATTTTAGGCTACATTTAAACTGCGTGCAAATTGATCACTTTAGGTTAAAATGCTCCTCACTGCTGCCTATTAGAGCCAATTCAAAATGTTTCACAGCTCATAATTTCAATGCTTGTAAGAACATCATCAAGTGTTTAAATGTTTGTAAAGAAATCAGTCTGGCTATTGTTTTTCTCAAGGGGAGACAGACATTGCACACACACACACACACACACACAGACACACCCACGCACACGCGCACGCTCCCGCATCTCACCCGATGAAGGCTCCTATGAGCTCCATGTCATCGCTCTGGGTGGGTGATCGTGAGTGAGTTCATTTCTTTTCGGTCTCACTCTGTCTCTACACATTTCTCTCCGAATAGCGTGATTGCTCATTGTTACGTGCCTGCTGCACCATTTTAACACCCTACACCGTCTGCAGTCTTCTTCTACTTCACCACAGCTGAACGGGCTTTTGCTGCTCATTTACAACCAGGAGTCCATCCATGTCTGGTGATTTTTTCATTCAGGATCTGAGGAATGTGGTGTCTGAAAATAAACTGAACGACAGGATACATGGACACAATACAAGACTGCGCCTGTGACAAAGCTGTGCAAGGTAAGACACTGAAATTTATGGGATAACACAAGAATTAAGAAATCCTTGCACTTGTTTCATTATTACGCTATTTTCTTTTGAGAATTAAGGAACTATATCTAGTTCAGATGTTACACTCCCAGCTTTGTATTGCTCCTCAGGGATGTTTTGCTAAGGAGACATGGTTCACTTGGGATTTAACTGCTGCTGTTGGTTACACCAATAGTTTAATTAAAGTTGCTTGTCTGAACAGAAAAGAAACCAGAGACAACACCTTACTTTGTTGCCTCAGATGTAAAACAAAGCCACATTTATTGCACACACTGACTCAATCCCCCCCCCCCCATTCACCTCCTGCACTGCAATACTGTCCCAATGCAAAATGTTCAGTTCCTCTTTTTAGTGTAGATGGTTAATAGCGGTTTCTTCCTTTGCTGGAGGAAGTATTCTGATCCTTTAGTAAAGTAAAAGTATTCATATAAAAATGTTCTATTACAAGTAAAACTCTTGCTTTAAACATGTAACTAATAGATATATAGATAGATATGTTATTCACACCCAAAGGGAAATTGCAGTGTTGCAGTAGAAAGGTAAGGTAAGCGTAAAGGTAAGTATTATCAGCAAATTAAAAATCAAAAGTAAAAGTACTCGTATGAAGAAAAATGCCTCAGTAAATGTTTTGGATTATTATTATTGATGCATTCATGTGAAAGTAGCATTTTATTGTTGTAGGCTAGTTAATAGATGTGGAGCTAATTTTATTGGCTCATCCCAAAACATGTTTTATATGTAAAAGCTCCATGTGTAAAGCCTAGCAACTGTCAAAAAATGGAGTAAAAATATTTCCCGCTGAAATGTGGTGGAGTTGAGAACCCATGTACGTACACAACGATGAATCTTCTCTTATGTATAGGCCTATCTCCTAAACTTTGTTAATTTTTTTTCTGTTGTATTTCTGCAGAACCACATGCATACACACACTAAAATCTGTTTAAGGGCCCTGTGCTCTGCCGGTCCTCCGATCTGATTCTGCATTCTGACCGACGTACTGCAGTGAATGTTCAACATAAGAGTCAGCCAGTACAGTCCGCCAAGTTCGTTCATTTTAAGTCAATTGAAGTGCAGTGTCTAATAAGTAAATGTACTTATTAGTTACATTCCAACTCTGATTTCTTCACATGACTTTTAGGGAAAGAATCGGGAGGTCCCCGGAGAACATGGCATTCTGGAGAAGAAATACTCATATTGGTGAGAATTTTTTTCTAAACACACTGTAGCTGAGAACAACAGGAAACATTGTTTGGTGTTGAGCGTTTACTGGCTGCAGGTTTGAAGTGTATACATTGTACAGAAAAGCTCAAATATCAGCCTTGTCTTTTGTTGGTCTTTCAAAAGTTGGAGACTTATCTTGTTTAAGTCTTCCTCTCTCTCTCAGGCAGCTGTACAGTAACTCCTCATCCAGTGCAGTGCACTGGTTTAGAGAGATAAAATGAAACAGTCAGTAGCCTCTCCCTTTCTGGGCATGTGTTTTTCATGTGTTTGAGGTAAGCTAAGAGGGAACTTCAGTACAGATATTGTGTTGTCAACCTTTGGGGTTCATCTAGATCATCTAAAAGCTTCCTGCATCGATGTTAGACTCAGGGGGAATATGGGCTGATTTATTTCCTGAAGCTGTTTGGACTTGCAGGCTGCTCAAGAGTCTGCTCAAGTGCCTAGCAGAAAAATATATTCTCTTTGAGAAATCAGTCTGTTAAATAACAGCGGTAACTTTTGCTGTCTTAGAAAAACAATATTGCTTTTACACATCTTCTAATGAAATGTTTAAGCAGACCGAAGTCCTTGAACAACAAATGCTTTTCTTAATAATTAACTGTCATGGTAACAGATAGCAGGATGGGGCCAGTCTGTTGTGTGAGAAGGTTTATCCTGTTGCAGCTCTGACCGTGTGTGTTATGCATAATTCAATAATGATTTAACCTTGTTTGGAAACAACAGCTCTAGCAATGTGCTCCTCTCTGGCATTGCTCTGTCTTGTTTTCATCTTGAAGGTGACTGGTATTTATTGTGTTGTTTGTGAGTGAATATATTTCCTGTCGAGACTGTTTAAAAAGCATGACTGAGCATGTTAATGCATCACACTGACATATGAGCCATGAAATGAATGCCAGAGTTGTAATTGTGGATGAAGTCTTCACTTCTTGGGTGTAAAGGGGGCAAGCTCAGACAGAGCCCACATGCCGCAGACACTCTTATATCATCAAACCCATGAAGTAGACTCAGCAAGAGATGTTATTTATTTCCCTTTAGTGGATCAACCATATTTAGGTGGATTCATGTGCATATCCCATCATAATCATTCTATAAGCTAGGATATTGTGACTGATACTGTCTGAAAGAAAAGAAATGTAACAAAAGAGTAATGACCAGCAGAGTTGTGGATCTTTGTGGAACTTAGTGCCATTGCTTCTAATATAGAAGTGAGAAGTGGGAACAAATGTGAGACATAAAGGCATAGCTGACTGGAAGTGCCATATATGTTATGCATTGTTGCGACATATTATCAATTGCCAATAAATGGTAAACAATACATACTAATGAGTAGGTAAGATCTAATGTTTAGTTTGACATTTGGAAATTACACCTAGATGCTTTCTTACTGAGCTACAACCAGGAGATGCTAGCTTAATTTAGCATAAAGACTGGAAACAAGGGGAAACAGCTAGCATAGCTTTGTCAAAAGGTAACAAAACCTGCCTACCAGCACCTCTAAAGCTCACCAACACATGTTACATCTCCTTTCTTGAGTCTTGTTGTAATGTGAGATTGCCAGGTAACCAGTGGTGAGTCACTGCACCTTCCCAAGAAATAGGCACACACATAATTCCCAGTAAACCTGTAAACAAATGTGATATGTCGTGTAAATTATTGAGCTTTAGAAGTGTTGGTAAAAGATTTTGTTACCTTTTGGACAGAGCCAGGCCAGCTGTTTCCTATTGTTTCCAGTCTTTATGCTAAACTAAGCTAATAGACTGATAGCTGTAGCTTTATAGCTCTACAGCTCTCTTCAAGAAAGCAAGCAAGTGTATTTTGAAGTAATTCTTTAAGGGGCATTCCACTGTTTTTTAAGTTAAGTTTACTTGTCACAAAGAGTCAGTCTTTCAAAGCAGTTATGTAATGTTTCCTGTTGCTCTGGGGGGAGATTTCCAAAATTAATAATAACCCTAATGATGTCATCAGGGTCATTTTGGTTTGGCTGGGTTGAGACTTTTTTAGAAAACCTGCATGACAAACTGGAAGTGTAGAGTTTGAAAGAAGTGAGCATTTAGGAGGTGGAGAAGATGGTGTATTTAATGACACTGTTTTTGTAACCTGACCCATAGGGACTAAAAGTCAAAATCTCTATACCTCTGCTTCTTCATTTGTCTCTTGTGAGTCCCCACACTTTATGAAAGAACAGTATAAAGATTGCTGGAATACCCATTGAAATAAAATGCAGGGAATTAGGTGAATACGTCAGTCTGATGTATCAGACCCATTATAGCAGGCCAAGAGGAATGGGTGAATATATTCTCAAGTCAAGAGCAACCTTGTCTTGTACCATGTTAAATGAGGTTCCGTATCACACTGGACCTGAAGCATGTAAGGTAAAAGTTTAGTTTATTGTGTTGTTGTTTGGCAACAGGTGTGATGGGGCAGTCAGAACAGGCAAAAAAAACAAAAGGGCAAAAATGACAGGCAATACCAGGCTGGAACAAGAAGACAAAAGGCTATGCCACCACAGCCGTTATGGCACAATAGACAATCTTGCAAGCAACAAAAGGGGAGTTGCCTGGATTCTTCAGCTGATGATACACAGGGCAACATTTTGAGCAATGTTGCTGGGCAATCTTGCTGGAGGCAAGTCCGACTATGTTTTGAACGGATAGCGGAGGTGCAGGGCGGGTGGTGGAGTGGTGGGGGAAGGGGATTACGGTAGTAATCTTTACTCATTACCACTGACGGCAACTTTGCCCAGCACAATTGCTCTAAAAGCTGCTCCGTGTATCATCAGCTTTAGTGTGGAATGTGCAGTATGTATTTGACATATAGTTGCCTCAAAAATTCCTCAGTGAAATTTAAAAAAGTAGTGTCAATACCCAGCATTTTACATATGCATACCTGTCAGTGTTGACACCAATTGACAGAAATCTTAAATTACTGAGCACTATTGAATCAACTGTTGAGTGTCTATTGTAGAGGGAGTAGTGAATGAGTGAACAAGGGTATGATTTTGGACACCACCTTGGCCTTTTTACCAGTAGACATTTTGAGTTGTCATAGTAGGAAAAGCACAGATGGTACTAATAACATTAAAGATGACGTCCCAGTAATTCATGACAGTGTGACAGTGAGCCAGCACAACACCAGGACCTTGAAACTGAATCAGCTAAATAGAATTTACATATCATTCTTTTTATTAACACCTCTGTTTCACAAAATCTCCCATTAAAATCTGCCTATGACTGACAACAGGGAAAAAAGGGAATGAAATTGACTGCTACCTTTGGTGAGACAGTGCATTCTGCTTCAGTGTATTAAAGAAAAGCCTTCTACTATGTTGCAGTGGTAAAAAGAAATGTACAAGGTTGTCCCAATGGAAAGTTTCACTGCTACTTTAAAATGAACTGACAAATTCATAATACATGGCAACCAATCTTAGTTAGCAAAGCTTAAGACTTTTAAATCTAACACGATGAGGTAGATTATCCTTTTAGTGGGATCTCACCTCAGAAAACTAAACCAAATTATATGTTTAAATGTGTCGATAGATTGTGCCTGTAAACCTCTTTAGGACTACGTAGATCGTAAATGATTAATGCTGCACCACTGTACTGCTGTTGTTCACATTTTGTGTTTTTGTGCATTATTGATATTGGCATGTTGTTTTGTTACGTGCCCTTTATGTTGAAGAAATGTTTCATCGAGAGATATTAATTGGACAAATAGAGGTCTGGTTTGTGCATTAATCAGCATAACAGGTTTATTAGGAAAGTGTGTATCAGTCATCCATCTTAACTTTATCGAGCTGTAGTTACAGGGTGAATATAATAGCAAGCAGGCCCAAGTCAAGAGAGTACACAATTATATTAAGCTTTCTCTTACAGTATTTAAAATAAAAATCAATAAATTATTGTAAAAATAGAAAGGAAACTAAGTCTGAAGTCTTTATATATTGTATTTATATGTACTTGTATAAGGCTCACTTGTCTCTGGATAATCTATTTGTCTGTTTGTAGAGAAGGAACGCCGTGTGAAAGCCAATGCGTGGGACTACAATGACAAGTTCTCATATGCTGTAAGTAGACCTCAAAATTACATTATGTTTTACTTTACTCACAAGTGTAGTCTGTATTCTTTAAGTTAAATTTCTAAATGTTTGCTTCTTCAGGACAATCGCATCAAAACCTCAAAGTACAACATCTTAACCTTCCTGCCCATCAACTTCTTTGAGCAGTTCCAGAGGGTTGCAAATGCGTACTTCTTAGTGCTGTCGATACTGCAGGTAGAAGAAGCTGGGTTGCGCAGAAATATATTTTTTACACGTCGCTTTTATGAATGTAGTTTTTTTTATTGTGTGAAGCTAACCTGCCTTTCTTTCTTTTCATATAGTTAATTCCAGAAATTTCCTCTCTGTCCTGGTTCACAACCATCGTGCCTTTGGTGTTGGTGCTGGTAATCACAGCTGTCAAGGATGCCACAGATGACTATGTTAGTAAAAAAAATATTTTAAAGCTCTTCTGAATGCTTCTCTTCTATCTCCCATGACACAAATTGTCATCCCTCTTATAAATTTCAGTTCCGACATAAGAGCGACCAGCAAGTCAATAACCGGCAGTCTCAGGTTCTCCTCAGGGGAAGGTACTTCATCACTCTCCTCTGTCTCTCTCATTAGATGCTTTGTTTAACTGCTTAGAAGCAAAATCACATGAACAAATGATTACATTCTGCATGTTCAAGGACATTTACGTGGTTTAATCAGTATTATTATTTTCCTTTTGTTTTTAATTTCCAAGTTTGCAGAATGAGAAATGGATGAACGTTCGAGTGGGGGATATCATCAAACTAGAGAATAATCAATTTGTCGCTGTGAGTAAATTGCGCAATGCTGTGAAGTATTCTGTAAATTGGATGCTTTTTGTTTTGCTTCTTTCATTTTCTTGCAGCTTTTATTAGATGGTGTGCAATTCGGCCTTTCATGTTAACATATAAGAGCAGTTACAGTTAACAAGCAAAGATTTCTTCTGGGAGATTCAGAGGCTGTTGGGTGCTCCTGCAGGTTCAGATGGTTAAGATTGATTTATTGTCTTTTCTCACCACTGAGTGTACATATTGGTTTTATACACAGGCAGACATCCTCCTTCTCTGTAGCAGCGAGCCCTATGGACTGTGCTATATTGAGACTGCAGAGCTAGATGGGTAAGTGCTGCACTGGTTATGTAAAGTAAAACAAAAGAAATCTAAACTGCGACCGAACACAGTGTCAAATGTGTGAGGAAGGAAAGTGTGAGATTATGATTCATTTCTATGTCTCCATGGAAAACACATTTGTTTTTTCCATTTCTCTCCCAAAAAAGAGAGACGAATCTGAAAGTTCGTCAGGCTTTGACCGTCACCTCAGGTTTGGGAGATATTACCAAACTGATGAACTTTGATGGTGAGATGATGCTTGACATATTTGTTTTCATTTGTGGACACCTCAGGCTTTCTGTGTGTGTTCAAAATGTCTCTCCTCAAAATGATTATTAGTATTTTGTTGTGTGAATGCATGTCAGTGAATTGTCTCCTGCAGGGAAGACGTTGGTAAGACTGTATTTGCTTTGTTCCTCAGGAGAGGTCGTTTGTGAGCCACCGAACAACAAGCTGGATAAATTCACAGGAACTTTGTACTGGGGAGGCAATAAATACCCTCTGGATAATGACAAAATGCTGCTGCGAGGTTGTGTACTCAGAAACACTGAGTGGTGCTTTGGAATGGTCATCTTTGCTGGTATGATTTTTAAATTTTTTTTTAGGCTTTCATTCTCCACATCCATTAGCCTTGTCTTTATTTTATCCTTTGACCAGCTCATAAACCCTCTTGTTGTTAATGTTCTTTCAACACTGATAGTTGTTTCCTAAACCTTCCTCTAGGGTTGCAAACCAAACTCATGCAGAACTCTGGGCGGACTACATTTAAAAGGACAAGTATTGACAAGCTGATGAACACCTTAGTGTTGTGGGTAAGCTGTTTCTTGCTTTTACATGGTAACTAACATAGTGCACTGCATCTTATTTAATTAATTATATAAAATTTTTACATTCCAGCAAAAGCTTTGATTAATAAACCCAAACTATTTGTGGGTAAGTCTTGTGCCTGCAAAATGTTCTTTAAAGGCCCTCCTGCACAGATGTTTTTATTTATGCTGCTCAAAGAAATTGGGTGGATCTATATTTATGTGAGATCCTAAAATGAAATACACCAATAAAAATGAGGTGCAAGTTGTCCCGCTCTAACGGGTGCAACAAAACAAACAGAGCGTGGGGGTACATGTCGATCAAGTGTATCTAATCAGACACAATAAGTGAGTGTACCGTGGGTGTGTAGGATCTTTAAATGAACATACTGACATACTTCTCATTTTCATGAGGTGAAGAAGGTCGAGATAAACTGACATAATGGACACATTTTGTTGATCTAAATTTCAGATCTTTGCCTCCCTCATTTGTATGGGAGTCATTTTGGCCATCGGAAACACTATTTGGGAAAGCTGCATTGGCAGAAACTTCCAGGTATTCTTGCCCTGGGAGGGGTTTCAGAGCAGTGCTGTTTTCTCTGGCTTCCTCACCTTCTGGTCCTACATCATCATCCTCAACACTGTTGTGCCCATCTCACTGTATGTCAGGTAAGGACCAAGACAATGCTATATAAATATTCGAGAAATTGTTGCTTGCCCAGGTCTAAAAGTTCCTTCATGTATTCTTAAAGTAACAGTGTTTCTTAGCAAAACTGTCACTTTTTTTCAAGCTATGGACGTTTCAATTTCAATGTTATTATTTCAGTTTTATAAATGATTTCTTATTAAAAAGGGATATTGTACAGAAAAATGTATGGTAAAACCTTCCTTCAGTGTGGAGGTTCTGCGGCTCGGCCACAGTTATTTCATTAACTGGGACGGGAAGATGTACCACAGTCAGACGGACACTGCGGCGGAAGCTCGCACCACCACCTTGACCGAGGAGCTGGGTCAGGTGGAATTCATCTTCTCCGACAAGACAGGCACCCTCACCCAGAACATCATGCTCTTCAGCAAGTGTTCCATTAATGGACAGACATATGGTATGGAGCTTTTTGGAAATATTTAAAACTCAGTCCATTATTAAACTTTACCAAACAATTGGGTGTGAGCATGTTTTCTCAGTTTTAGTTGACGATAGTTGGATAATTCTAGGATCATTTAGTGGTTTTTAAATAATAAATTTTTAATTCTAACTGTGGGAAATACTTAATTACAATAATTATGTTTGAATTAAAGTATTAGATTTTAGGGCAAAACGTTTATCAGCAGTGGCAGAGCCAAATTTCTATAATGTTTCACAAGATATGAGTCATTACAGTACTTTTTATTCACTCAGGTGAAGTCTATAATGAATTTGACGAGAAGGTGGAAATTACAGAAGTAAGTAAGGCTAAACGAGAATGAATTCTTAACTGAAACAATACTAATAACATAATAACATAATGACTATATTGGTGGTCTGTGTGCCCTCAGAAAACAGCCTGTGTGGACTTTTCCTTCAACCCTCTCTGTGACAGAAAGTTTAAGTTTTACGATGGCAGCCTGGTGGAAGCCATTAAATTGGAAGATCCTACAGTGCAGGAGTTCTTCAGACTGCTGGCTTTGTGCCACACTGTCATGCCAGAGGAGAAGAGTGAAGGTAAACTGTACACACAATCCAGTAAAAAGACAAATAATTGAATACATTAAAGTGGCTCTGATCGATGTTTCTGTTAAAATGAAGGAAACTTGGTGTACCAGGCCCAGTCACCTGACGAGGGAGCACTGGTGACTGCAGCTCGAAACTTTGGCTTTGTCTTCCGGGCCCGAACCCCCGAAACCATCACACTGTATGAGATGGGACAAGCTGTCACCTACCAGCTGCTGGCCATACTGGACTTCAACAACGTGCGCAAGAGAATGAGTGTCATTGGTTAGGTCTTCACTTATAACAGAAATGCTCCCTTTAACTTACAAGTACTGAAGTTGGCATTATGTGCACATTATTATAGAAAATGACTACATGAAATCAAAAAATTAATAGCAAGTCTGTTTCTTAACACACTTTCTATTTACCATGTTTAATAACAATACCTGTGACAACTAGTAATAAGTCTTTATTTTCTGCAAATAGCATGAAGTTAACAGTCTCTACATGCTTGTGTAATCTGTAATCCGTGTAGGAGGATTTGACCAAAAAAGTAATGTTGTGTATGTCACGGTTTTGAGGTGAAGGCAGGGTTGAGCAGGTTGGAGGACCCAAATGCAGGACGCAAGGCAAAGGAGGTACAGTTCAAGGGGTTTTAATAAACAAACAAAGCGAGCACACTTACAAACTGAGTGGCTGATGACAGAGTCCAAAACAAAGTAATCCAAACGAGAAAACCAGAATCCAAAATAAGCAGGGAAACACGACGAGTAGGCTGGCAACAAGGTAACACACTGTAACACTGGGTGACAATAAACAATGACCCAACAAGGACCAGACAGAAACACCAGGTATATATACACAGGGACTAACGAGCAGGGCGGGAGCAACACAGGTGACAGACATGAGACTAACGAGGCAGGCAGAGAGAGAGACAGTGAGCAGAGGGAAACAGAGAGACTGATATGCAGGCAGAGTGACAACCGGGGGAACAGACGGAACACAAGTTACTGAACACAAAACAGACCAGAGTGAACACTTAACATGAACTATGGTACAGGACTGGGAACAAGGACAACGAACTAAAACGCAGGAACAAGAGTTAAGGCAGTGACTAAGAAACAATATAACAACTAGACTACCAAACCAAAGCAATATCAAATCAACACAGGACTACGAGCTAGAACACCAGAAACAAATGGCAAAAACTCAAACTCAAAGGGAAAAACTACAACTCATGACAGTGTTCTCTTGCTGTGTTTCATAGTGAGAAATCCACAGGGCAAGATTAAACTGTACTCCAAAGGAGCTGACACTATTATCTTTGAACTTCTGGATTCATCCAGTGAAGCCCTCATGCACACTACCTCAGAACATCTCAGTGTAAGTGTGATACCATTGGATAACATTACTCAGTGATTACATTGTTAAAAAGTGAATTTATACACTTAAGTGCACTATCTAAGTTTATAGTCTCAATTTTATAGTCATAAAAAAACAAAACACCAACATGCTTAAAAAATACAGTGCCCTGTTTTGTTGCTGTATTGTTAATGGTGATTGTTCTCATTTTCTCCGCAGGAATTTGCTGGAGAAGGACTTCGAACATTAGCCCTGGCCTACAAAGATGTCGATGAAGACTATTTTGCAGTTTGGACGAAAAGGCTTCTGTTTGCCAGCACTGTAATTGAGAACCGCGAGGATCAACTGGCCGTGCTCTATGAAGAGATCGAGCAGGGCTTGAAGGTAACATTTACAACCTTTTGTTTACACCCTTGAAGCAATCAAACTCATTGCAGACTGACTGCTGTCCTGCTAAAGCTTCTAGGAGCCACGGCAATCGAGGACAAACTGCAGGAAGGAGTCCCAGAAACTATCGCCTGTTTAAATCGAGCCAACATCAAGATCTGGGTCCTCACAGGAGACAAACTAGGTAGAATAATTCACCTAAATGATCTTTTTGACCAGAAAAACTGATACTTTAATAACCGCTTACCTATCTGTGAAAAGCTACAGAGATGTAAACTGTGTAAAACATTTCAGAGACAGCGATGAACATTGGCTACTCCTGCAACATGCTGCGAGACGACATGAATGAGGTGTTCATCATCTCTGGCTACACACTGCTGGAGGTGCAGCAGCAGCTCAGGTGACATGCTGTACATGTCATGACATGTACTTAATAAAGCTTTTAGAAACATATAAAAGGTAAGTTTACTGTCTTTTCTCTCCACAGGAGTGCTAAAGAGCACATTCTCGGCGTGAGTCGAGTTATCAGTGCAGGAGATGTTCAGATGAAAGACGTGACTGCAGATGATGTGTTTGAAGAAACCCTTATTGCAGAGTATGCCTTAGTCATCAATGGACACAGTTTGGTGAGATACTCAATTGCATTTTTCTTTGTTGGAATGATAATTCTGTCCTTTGTGATTGTTTTTATTTCGATACTGATACCTGTACCGGTACATGATTTATTTAGTTAAACAGTGGTGGTGTTGCTGTCTTATGAGTGAGGCATCTCTGTACCTGCTGCTGACTGTGCAGTCTGTAATGAGCAGAGAGCTGCTATGCTGCTGAGGGCCCTCGGCTCTATTATGGGTTTTCATTAACATCCATTTCCTCACAGAGGAGCGTGCCTTGAGGGGTGTGCATGATGCTCAACAGCTAGGTGGAAATGTTACAGTGAGCTGTTGCTTGGTATTGCCTCTACAGGGTGTTAATGTTATAGGATGGTACTGATGAGGCTTAACAGGTTGGATGTATGTGTTCTCCCTGCAGACTCACGCTTTGGAGCCACAGCTGGAGCACGTCTTGCTGGACGTGGCCTGTTTGTGTAAAACAGTCATTTGCTGCCGGGTCACTCCGATGCAGAAAGCCCAGGTGGTGGAGTTGGTGAAGAGGCACAAGAAGGCCGTCACTCTGGCCATTGGAGATGGAGCCAATGATGTCAGCATGATCAAGAGTAGGTCTAAGGATTGATCACTCTTACTTACTAATCCAAGGGGATGACACACTGAAAAAGCTGGTTTGGGAACAGCAGCAGGAAGCAAGTATTACTATTACATTCAACTTGCAGTGCCCCAGCATGTGATTACCCTACAAAAATTGTTAGGATTAAACACTTACCAGCTTATGAAGGTATTTCCAGACTCCTCAAAGGCTCTTTTAACCATCTGTATGAAAACATATTCATTTCATTGCATGTATATTCTCAACTTGCAACTCTTTTTCCTGATCAAAGCAGATGTGGTAGCTGGAAATCTCCTTTTTAATTTATATGTGAATCCCAATTCTAATATTATTATTATATATATATATATATATGGGTGTTTCTTTCTGATATCGTATTATTGCATTCTTACAAAACAACATGTTATATTTGGATTTTGAGATGACCTAAGAGGGACAACCTACAGGCACTAGGGGGAACACAGAAACCTAATTGGGACCACAAGATATTATCATTCAGATTTGGTGCTGGCATTAGATATGCTCAATAAAACATGCTATGTTAAGTAAGTCTTTGTTAGTCTCTGAAATGCCTTCACACCTGAACCTGGTTCACAACAGTTTAACAGTTTAAACCACTTGTTAGAAGAGTCTCTGATGATTTCTGGAAATACCAGAGTTCAAGCACACCACATTCACGCAAAGGCAAAAATAAACAGAACACAAACCAGTTGTCACAGGGCAGGTGTCAGATGCCAGATGCAGGGGGTTGTGAAAGGAAATACCTTCAGTCTTTTTAAGGTGTTTCTTTTTTTTAGGAACTTCATGCTTACAGGTGCTGGTCATATAATTAGAATATCATCAAAAAGTTGATTTATTTCAGTAATTCCATTCAAAAAGTGAAACTTGGATATTCATTCATTACACACAGACTGATATATTTCAAATGTTTATTTCATTTAATTGTGATGATTAAAACTGACAACTAATGAAAATCCCAAATTCAGTATCTCCGAAAATTAGACCAATACAAAAAAAGTATTTTTAGAAATGTTGGCCAACTGAAAAGTATGAACATGAAAAGTATGAGCATGTACAGCACTCAATACTTAGTTGGGGCTCCTTTTGCCTGAATTACTGCAGCAATGCGGCGTGGCATGGAGTCGATCAGTCTGTGGCACTGCTCAGGTGTTATGAGAGCCCAGGTTGCTCTGATAGTGGCCTTCAGCTCTTCTGCATTGTTGGGTCTGGCGTATCGCATCTTCCTCTTCACAATACCCCATAGATTTTCTATAGGGTTAAGGTCAGGCAAGTTTGCTGGCCAATTAAGAACAGGGATACCATGGTCCTTAAACCAGGTACTGGTAGCTTTGGCACTGTGTGCAGGTGCCAAGTCCTATTGGAAAATGAAATCTACATCTCCATAAAGTTGGTCAGCAGCAGGAAGCATGAAGTGCTTTAAAACTTCCTGGTAGACGGCTGCATTGACCTTGGACCTCAGAGAACACAGTGGACCAACACCAGCAGATGACATGGCACCCAAACCATCACTGACTGTGGAAACTTTACACTGGACTTCAAGCAACATGGATTCTGTGCCTCTCCTCTCTTCCTCCAGACTCTGAGTCCTTTATTTCCAAAGGAAATGTAAAATTTACTTTCATCAGAGAACATAACTTTGGAACACTCAGCAGCAATCCAGTCCTTTTTGTCTTTAGCCCAGGCGAGTCGCTTCTGACGCTGTGTCTTGTTCAAGAGTGACTTGACACAAGGAATGCGACAGCTGAAACCCATGTCTTGCATACGTCTGTGCTTGGTGGTTCTTGAAGCACTGACTCCAGCTGCAGTCCACTCTTTGTGAATCTCCCCCACATTTTTGAATGGGTTTTGTTTCACAATCTTCTCCAGGGTGCGGTTATTGCTTGTACACTTTTTTCTACCACATCTTTTCCTTCCCTTCGCCTCTCTATTAATGTGCTTGGACACAGAGCTCTGTGAACAGCCAGCCTCTTTAGCAATGACCTTTTGTGTCTTGCCCTCCTTGTGCAAGGTGTCACTGGTTGGCTTTTGGACAGCTGTCAAGTCAGCAGTCTTCCCCATGATTGTGTAGCCTACAGAACTGGACTGAGAGACCATTTAAAGGCCTTTGCAGGTGTTTTGAGTTAATTAGCTGATTAGAGTGTGGCACCAGGTGTCTTCAATATTGAACCTTTTCACAATATTCTAATTTTCTGAGATACTGATTTTAGGGTTTTCATTAGTTATAATCATCACAATTAAAAGGAATGAACACTTGAAATATATCAGTCTGTGTGGAATGAATGTATACATTATACAAGTTTCACTTTTGAATGGAATTACTGAAATAAATCAACTTTTGACCAGCACCTGTAGCTCTGTTTCTCAAATGTAATGGTGATACATCAGAGGCACAAACTGGGGCTACACGACTGCAGTGCAGCAGTGAGCTAAGATGAAGCTGCTCTCGGTCGACAGGCTTTGCTAATGTGTTCGTTAGCAAGACACTGAATCCTTGATGAAAGCCTTCTGCAGAAACTGTGGTGGTCAATAACTGTAACACAGTAGAAAGAAGAGCGTTTTTCCTTCTGAAACTAATTTTCTGCTGTAGTCAGCAGCTTTCTGCAGTGTTGTCTCTGACCGCTTCAGGTTTGCTCTTCTGTGTCAAACAATAAGACAATTCCCAATCGGCAGTTTTTTTAACTACATAAACTTGATGTACATTCACATACATATTTGAAGAGTCTGAGTTATAGATGAAAACTCTTTTTTTCTCAACTTATCAGAATACAGACCTATTTAACCTTGGTTTTCCCCTGTTGTATTTAAATCCCTCAACCAATAATAAAGTGTCAATTTGATCACAGGATGTGCATTTAATATGGTGAATATTTTCTATTCAAAGGGCAGTAATCCACTTTGTGTGTTTCTTCTGCAGCTGCTCACATCGGTGTTGGGATAAGCGGTCAGGAGGGGATGCAGGCAGTTCTGGCATCAGATTACTCCTTCGCTCAGTTTCGGTACCTGCAGCGGCTCTTGCTGGTGCACGGGCGCTGGTCCTACTTCCGCATGTGTAATTTCCTGTACTATTTCTTCTACAAGAACTTTGCCTTCACACTGGTGCACTTCTGGTACGGTTTCTTCTGTGGTTTCTCGGCTCAGGTAAGGAAGCTAAAGAATTGTTGCAAGGCCTATATATTTTTGAAAGTTTCTCCTTTTTGTGTTGGATTAATGATATTTACATCTGTGCTCTGTCCACAGACTGTGTATGACCAGTGGTTCATTACCCTCTTCAATATAGTCTACACATCTTTACCAGTCCTGGCGATGGGACTTTTTGATCAGGTAACTCTGTTAATTATGTGATGATAACACAGCGCTGACTTATATAGTCAATACCAAATTACCTTAATCTTTTTAAAGAAACTTTTCATTTCTAAATGTATAGTCCCCATTAGTCATACAGGTGAATATCTTATTGTTGTAGACCTCTTTTACTGTGGCATGATTAATAAACTTCCAAAAGGTCCCTAAATAATATAAACTTGTGCGTGAGTAGAGCCCCTTATGCAAACCATATCCAATATTATATTGTTCATCTATCATATCAAATTTACCCTCCGCCATACTTTTGCCAACTACCATCAAGCACCTGCCTCAATGCATCACCTTACAGCTACCCTACTGCCATTAAATGTAATAATACTTAACACCTCACATAACATGCATAATATCTCTGTTTCATAAAGGATGTCAATGACCAGAACAGCCTTCGCTACCCGAGCCTGTACAAACCCGGCCAGCAAAACCTTCTCTTCAACAAATGCCAGTTTTTCCTGTGCACAGTGCAGGGGGTATGCACATCATTCCTGCTCTTCTTCATTCCTTATGGTGCCTTCTCTGTCATGGTGAAAGAGGACGGCTCCCACTTATCTGACCAACAAGCGTTTGCAGTCACCATAGCAACATCCTTGGTCATAGTCGTAAGTGTTCAGGTAAGAGTATAAACAGCAAGAACAAATCAGACAAAAATAGCCCTGTTAAGACTCTATATTTGTGTTTAAGATACATGCATCTTTTCCTAGATTGGACTCGACAAACACTACTGGACAGCTGTTAATCACCTCCTCACGTGGGGTAGCCTGACAGTGTACTTTGCCATTTTGTTTGCTATGCAAAGTGATGGCATATTTGGCGTCTTTCCAAGAAATTTCCCATTCATAGGTGAGTGTGGCTCAGTTGGACATATGTAAATAAATAACACTGATGCTTGGAAATTAATTATAAATACATTTTGATTTGTGCGTCCTCAGGCACGGCACGTAACTGTCTATCAGAGAAGAGTGTATGGTTGGTCATTCTGCTCACCACTGTGGTGTGTGTTGTGCCTGGCTTAGTAGTCCGCTTCCTGAGAGCAGACCTCTTCCCAACTCTAACAGATAAGGTACAATAACTGTGATGCATATACTGTGTTTGTGTAAGTGATGGATACATTTCTTTCGTGGCTGTATTTTAGTGGTGGAAAGTACATTTAATTATTGCACCCATCTACCTAAACTCTATAGTACAGGCTTACGTTCCTTTTTGGCACTGTGCTCTTCCAACAAATGTTGTCCTTTGCTGTCATTTGCGACACCACAATTTTCTTGTTGTTAACTCTTATTGCTTCCCCTAGGTATTTATCCCATTGATGCTGAATGCGTTATTAGCTCTTACTAGTATTTACTGTTACTCGTAGATCTCTTACTTTACTGAGTATGTTGTTCTTCAAATGTAAGTCACTTTGGATAAAGCATCTGCCAAATTAGTAAAGTAGAACCTTTCAACATTGGAAATTGAAAATAAGAGAAACAATAAGAGAGGGTTAGTTATTTAGTTGGGGCATGTTTCAGTTAGTGAGTTGTGAGCAATTTCACCGAAGCGACATTTCCCTTAAAAACTTCATTTCATTAAAAGACTTTTTCGAGTCCAAATGTTAAATAAAAGCAAAAATAAAAAAAAGTTAAAGAGATGGTATTATGCTGTTTGGCTTTTCCCCTCTCCTTTATTGAGTTATCTCTCTTTTTTTGTGCCTGTAACAGGTTTGCAAAGTGAAAAAGCCCAAAGTCCAGGCCAAAGGGAGTTCCCATCTCCCACAGAAAACACTGCTCTGAACCACTTGGAAACAGCTCATTTGTAGTCCAGCCCTTCACTTCCTTTACTTGTGAGGTCACAATGAAAACGTGTCATAAATAGGCTAGCAGGGGTCAGGCACACCCTCAGCCGCCCGCTCACAGAGCCCTCTGCTCCCACCGTCACACCGACCGCTGCAGCAACAACAGCAGAGGAAAACACAGCTGGAAGGTTTTCATACCGCTTATCTGTCTTTACATTCTGAGGAATGTTGAAACGTTTTAACTTAAAAAAGAGAAAGCTGTGTGGATCGCTGGTGTGTGTGTCATGTTGAACATTACGTCGTCATAACACGCTACGTACTATCTCTGGGTACTACCTGCAATGGAAAACGGAGCAGGGCAGAGTCGAGTCTATTGATTTGCGCTATGGTAGCATTTTTCGGCAAGGCAGCATAACGTTAGATCGTCAGAACACCGGCAACAGTTCAACGTTTAGTCCTGATGGTAAGATGTGGAACAATGATGTTGTATGGTTGTGGACTTGTGAGTAACTTATACCATCTGCTAGGTTACGACAAGGGGGTAAGCCACAGTTGAAACAGTGAAGCCGACCAAAGCCTGCACGGCCGGTTCCATGTACAGGTGCTGGTCATATAATTAGAATATCATCAAAAAGTTGATTTATTTTAGTAATTCCATTCAAAAAGTGAAACTTGTATAATGTATACATTCACTCCACTCAGACTGATATATTTCAAGTGTACTCCATGCCACGCCGCATTGCTGCAGTAATTCAGGCAAAAGGAGCCTCAACTAAGTATTGAGTGCTGTACATGCTCATACTTTTCATGTTCATACTTTTCAGTTGGTCAACATTTCTAAAAATACTTTTTTTGTATTGGTCTTAAGTAATATTCTAATTTTCGGAGATACTGAATTTAGTATTTTCATTAGTTGTCAGTTTTAATCATCACAATTAAATGAAATAAACATTTGAAATATATCAGTCTGTGTGTAATGAATGAATATAATGTCCAAGTTTCACTTTTTGAATGGAATTACTGAAATAAATCAACTTTTTGATGATATTCTAATTATATGACCAGCACCTGTAGGCCCAAAAATTACGTCAAAACCCCATGACATCCCGTTGCACACGAGAGATGTAACCATATTGCTTAGATAATAAACTTTCAGTGAATCTAAAACAAATGAGTTATTCGGCGATCAGTGACGCTACATTGGTATTTGTCAGGGGAGCCTCGTAAGTGGGCAGATTAAACAGTGACGATCCGAGTCAGTCAAACACACTGAGCCACTGTTGGGCAGCTCTGCAGCTACCAGAATTACGGTGTTTCTGCCGTTGCTTTACGTCATTAAACCACGGTTATGCTGCTAGTAGTCCTTACCTGGGAACTGCACATGTGCAACTCCCAACAAAGCTCAAGAGCGGAGCGTACAACACATAGGGTGAAAAGAGGAGCTGCAGCAATGTGCAGTATGAGCAAAATATGGTGTTTATTGAAAATTAAACCATGTAAACCTGTTCTGGTACAACCCCTAAATAAGATTTGGAACCTGAAAATGAGCATAATACCACCTCTTTAAAATAGTGCACACAGTGTGGCATAATTTTTTGTCTTTCTCCATTCACGCCCCATTAATCATTGCAGACCCCACTGATTTCTCAGTTACAAAGACTTTACACAGAATGAGTACTTTCACTTTTCTTATTTTTACATTTCTGTGATAATACTTATGTAATTTTACTTAAGTAGGATTTTAAATGCTAAACATCAACTTGTAATGGTGTATTTTTACATTGTGGTATTGGTGCGTTTACTTGAGTAAAGGATCGCAGAACTTCATCCACCACTGCTGTATTTTGGTAGGTTCGTCATCTACAACAGTCCAGGAAGAGGGATCGACCTCAGGAGAAGAACCTGAGGCGAGTACGCAGGACGAGCTCCCGCCGCTCTGCCTATGCCTTCTCCCACCAACAGGGCTATGGAGAGCTGATTACCTCAGGCAAAAACATGAGGACGAGCATAGTGTCTTCTGCTTGCTCCCCTGAAAGAACACCAAACAGCTGGATAGAAAATGTGTTAAAGAGAAAAAATGAAGTCTCTTGCGTCTCTGATAAAAGCACAGAAGCACCAGAAAGTGACAAAAGAGCAAAACAGACTCCAGAGTAACGGCACACTGACTGAACTTGACCTCTGGCTAAACAGATTCTGTATACTGTATAGGAGACCGTATGCATGGATCCCGTAGACCAAGCACAAGGTATTAGTGTCCTTCATTTGGGTGAATTTATGCTCAAATGCAACAATACAGTCGTACCTCATTTTTTATTCGTGTGTGAATCATTTGCCGGACGTGAAAGGCCAATCAAAACATGATTATTAGGAGGAACCATTTCCAAAAAAAGCCAGCTGATTGAAAACAGATCATGGTACACGTTTTAATCTTTATCATGCAACCATTTGTTTAATGTGCAAACTCAGCCTGACAACAGCAGGTATATTTTAGGACAACGTTATGCATGAGTTGCTAAAGTTAAAGAAATATTTGTTGTCCTGCGTCAACTGATCCAATTTAATCTTTAAGTGGTTGGAGCACAAACGTCTATCAACATTTATGAATAACAAATAGCAAGCCCTCAGGTAGCCCTGAGCACCAGTACAAAACATTTATTAATAGACTTACGTCTGTAAAGCCTATGCATTGAAACTCTCCTTTCAACCTACATCCAAAGTGCTAAAATGTAAGTTTTTTCTGTGAAAACTGATGTAAAACTGCTGAATATGACAGTAAGCACAACTTAATTATTGATTTAAATATATTTAGTTAGCAGAATGAATGATTATTATTTAGCTGACTCCATATTTTGCCATATGGAACTTTTAATGCTATAATTCTGAGATCTACATTTCCTGACTTTCTCATTTCACAGGAAAGATAATCCATCTTTTCCATTTGATAAGAAATGTGTTAAACTTGAATACAGTGCTTGAATCTGATATCCTCTCTATAATACAGGTTCATCCCTCACTTTCTGCTTCCCAAAATAAAGAGGATGAATAAAACATTAAATTCAGTGGAAATGAGCTTTAAACCAACAACAATCATATCCCCTCTTTTGTCTACCAGAAATAGTCAAAGGGAAAACTGGCTGGGTGAGATACGATGTGATAAAAGTCCCTGAACAAAATTAAATGCAGAATGCTGCAGTTATATTCAGCACAGTACAGTAACCTATGCCTTAGACCGCAGAGCCTCCGACATCACTGCTCTCTAATGAAGTGAAAATGAATCCTGTGCAAAAGCTCAACCCTAGTGTGTAATCTTACAATCAGGACTTCTTACCCTGATTTCCCTTTGGCTCACACGCCTTTAACACAACACAAACAGCCAGAAGAAACATGTCTCAGAGATGCTGTTCCAACGACTGTTACTACTTCAACAACACTACTGCACAGGTAAAATATTTAGCACATTTAATTCTTTATTTTTGCCCTTGTTTACTACATTACGTTCATGTATAAATGTTTTTAAAAAGGATGTTTGGATTTTATACAACAGCACAAATAAAAAATATTGTTTATTAGTTTATTTGACATTGTTTCTTTTCAGAGGTGAAAAGTGAATTAGCAATACAAAATCAACGTATTACAAAAATCCATGATTAACACGTGATTTTAAAAAAACATGTTTTAACACAAAAAAGCATTTTCCCTTTCTATGAAATAATTCACCATTGTTTGGTCCTTAAATTCCAGAATAATTTGTAAGAGTAAAGAGGTAAAATGGAACACAGTAAGGTTTACATTTTGTAGTATTATTTATTATATGCAAGTTCCTTCTGCCTCAATTTTAAGTGTAAAAAATGTAATTTATTTACCCGCAGCAGTATGTTTCAAATTGAATGATAGCCGCAAAAACCGACACGGATGATGCATTTCACTCCTCAAGGAAAATTGCAGCTCCCCCTCCCGGCTTTGACACAAACAAACTCTGTTTTTCCATCGCTGCTCTTCGTGGATCAGGGAGGTAGTAGGCCTCCCTCACTGCTTGTAAAAAAGACTCCACCTTCTCACCGGGAACCATGGAGACAGCACAACCGCCCCAACCTGCTCCCGTCAGCCGGGAGCCCACAGCCCCCGACTTCCTGTAAGCAAGAGAAAAAGAAGAAGAGGCTGTTAAGTACAGTATTCCAACACCAGCCTTCAATCATGTGATCATACATTTAGGAAAAATGCATGTGTGAGGGAGGAGGGAAAATTGAAGAGATGGTAAGGCAGCATGGTTAAAAAGAATTATCTTATGGTAAATGGCAAATAGTAATTGGACTGTATTTGTATAGCGCCTTTCTAGTCCTCTGACCACTCAAAGCTCTTGACACTACATGTCACATTCACCCCATTCACACACATTTCTACACTGATGGCAGAAGCTACCACGCAAGGTGCAAACTGCTCATCAGAAAGAAACGTATCATTCACGCACACTCATACACACCAATCATACAGCCAGCGGGAGCAATTTGGGGTTTAGTATCTTGCCCAAGAACGCATTGACATGCAGACTGGAGGAGCCGGGGATTAAATTGCTGATCTTCCGATAAGTGGTAAAGACAATATTCCTGAATACAATGTATATGGTACACATGGGACATATACAGACATATATATATATATATATATATATATATATATATATATATATATATATATATATATATATATATATATATATATATATATATATATATATGTATATATGTATATATATATATATATATATATGTGTGTGTATATATATGTATATATGTATATATGTATATATATATATATATATGTGTGTATATATATGTATATATATATATATATATATATGTGTGTGTGTGTGTGTGTGTGTGTTACAGTACTACACTATTTTAAAATATTCTCCCATAATTCAATATACAAAGGAAATGGAGGAGCTGCCCACAGGAAATTAAAAGTATTAAGTATTAATTGGTAGAGTCATGTTTATGTTTGTATACCATGAATTAGAATGTATACCCACAGCAAGTACAAGTTTATAGTACACAACAGTTGAGCCAGTTTTTTACTGGTCAGATATTTTATCCCATTCTGTCCTGAGTTTCAATCTGTCTCAGGACAGTTTAGGATAAAATGTCTAAATCTGTAATAGCAGTCAGTGAGACTACGCACAGACAGATGTCCACCAGCTGATCCAGTTCGGGGCAGCTGCACTCGTACAGGTCTCTGCAGCTTGCATGGCTCTGGTTCATCAGGTCTCCAAGCAGCCGTATGGATTCGGCAGGTTCAGAGTCGCACACGCTCTTAAAGCGCAGCACCCGTGCAGCCTCACCGTACACATGGGTGGCTCGCTGGTGCAGCTTGAAATGCATCACTGAGAGAGAGGAAAAGAGGCAGATGCGCTGATTGTAAAGTCCTCCATCTGCTCCTGCCAGACTTTCTGCTTGGTTGTGTTGATGTCGACAGACACCTGGGTGATGCTACCTAATAATTATTGTTTATTAATTATAAATATTATGTTATTTTTTTAACAAATGCCTGTACTCAAGAAAAACTGTGATATCACCGTATGACTGATAATAAGGTACTGATAATTAAAAAGTTTAGTCTCATATCACAATACTGTATTAACATTAAAAACTACATTGCCCTGTTCTATGTCATAGTAATTATGGCTGCAACTACCTATCATTTTAATTTATGGATTAATCTGTTTTTTAAAACGTTAAAGGCATTTTTTTGCCTGAACAGCGGTCCCAAAACCAACAAGATATTAAATTCAGAATGGTATTAAAAGGCAAAAAATCAAGAAGTCCTCGTATTGCAAAACTATTAATTATTTTAACTTTTGGATAATTTTACAAGACAAATGACTTCCAACACCTAATCCATTATCAAAATTGTAATTGTTTAACCTTTAAATCTACTAATCAACTACTTAACCACTTGTTTCCACATAATGGTATAAAAATACACATATACTGTAGCTCACCATGCTGAGTGTTAGCGCTCAGCAGCTCTGTGGAAAACTGCTCGCAGGTGATTCCCAGGGCCTTGCAGATCTCCTCTCGGCTGTACGGCTCAGGATGCAACACCTCATCCACCAGAGCCAGCATCTCCTCCAGGGAGGCTTTCAGCTCCATCTGAACCTGGGCCAACTTCAGCAACCCGCCCGAGTCTAGGCCCCGCGCCTGGGCCAGCATCTGTGTTCATACCCACCACAACATTTTTAATCAACTTCGATGAAATATTACAAACTTTTTACTCACACACAAGTTAGTTGATGTTGATGTTCACAATGGAACATTAGGATTTTATACCCCTCTCTATATACTATATTCATTTTTACACATATTTGCTGAAGATCAACTCAGTAATTTGGATAACCAGTAAGGAAGCAACACTTTCAAGTACATTGCCCCACTACTAGAGCTGCAATGACTAATCCATTAGTTGCCATCTATTAAATTAAATGCCAACTATTTTGATAATCGATTAATTAGTTTGGGTCATTTTTTAAAGAAAAACAAGTAAATTCAAGCTTCTTAAATGTGATTATTTTCTGGTTTCTTTACTCCTCTATGACAGTAAACTGAATATCTTTGGCTTGTGGAGAAAAACGAAACATTTGAGGACGTCTTCTTAGGCTTTGGGGAGCACTAATCGACATTTTTCATCATTTTCTGACATTTTATAGACCAAAGAACTAATCAATTAATTGAGAAAATAATCAACAGATTAATACAATGAAAACAATCATTAGTTGCAGCACTATACACTACATGCTAAATCCAAAATAAATAATAATTGTAATATTCAAAAAATTACTGTAGTATTAGTATTGGCAAAAGTGTTGTTACCACAACTGCAGGTTATTTACTTAATTAAGTCCAATGCTGCAACAAAGGAAGAAAGACATTTTCAGAGTAAGTCTATGAGAAATGCCAGATGCCGCTAAAGTTCCACATTTCTGTGGTAGTATTAGGTTCTTGTGATTCTCTCCACTTCAGGAGTTCTGCACCAAGTCTTAATGTTTGAAATAGAAAAGGAACTGGACATTTCTCATCCTTTTTATGGACCAAATCTCTTGTATGACTTGTAAGACTCTTGTATGAAGCCGTTTTGGCTTGTGACTCCTTAAAACAAAGACTCCCATCACAGAACGTACATTCAATATGAAGAGTAATGAAGGTACAACCAAACAATTGTTTTACCTTATGTAGTTTGTCTGAATAATTCATTTAACGAGGAGAGTTTAAGAGCATTTCACAACAGCAAATAAATCGAGATATAATATAAATAAATATAAATAAATATAAATAAATATAAATACAGAAACACGGTAATACCATTTAAAAAATTTTCCTGTTCCATAAATCATCCTTTGCCCCCCAGAATCAAGTTGAGAGCCCCTGTACAGGATCACCATACCTTTGTGGCGATTCGACACTCCACTACTCGGATGTTGAAGTGAGAAGAAGCAGCTTTGTTCATCTCCACACAGCAGTTGGAGATCACAAACACGGCCCCATCTGGGAGCTTCACATCAGTGGCCCGCAGAGGCTGGAACTCGATCAGCTTTGCCTGGCAATAAATCAACAATAAGACAAGTGGCAACTCTTGACTACATAGAACATTTGAAACAAACCATTATTATTCTTCTATGTTCTTAGTGTAAAGATTGGTTTGGGTGAACAAATGACCCTGATCAACTTATGCTACTTGTTTGACCTAATGCACTGAAAGGAAAGCTACATACAGTTCCTCTCTCTGCCAGGAATGAGATGGACTGGTCCATGCCCCCTCCCTCTGTGCCAATGTAGTGCTCACATTTGGCACATATCTCAGCCAGCGCCACCTGGAGGATTACAGAGTATAATGAGAAAAGGGCTTAATTGACCCATTTGAAATTGACAAACCTTCTCTGACTGTTGATTACTGGCATAAAAGTGAAGTGCATTATGGGTTAGTTTTGAAGTCATGAGTCACATCTGATATTTACATTTTTCAAAAGTTGCTCACAGAAATGCATACAGCATGTTTTCCTATGTGAATTAGAGCCTGACCGATGACTTATTATGCTGATATTATTGGCTAATATGAGCTAATTGCAGATAAATTGGTATCAGTGTTTTCAGCAGCAGATAAATGACAATTAAAAAAGAAACGGAAGACAGAGTCTTCAATCATGTTATGAGTGTTGTTGTTGCATTTGTCCACTACTCCCTCGTTGGCAACACACGTTTATAACATTTTAATAATAAATAATAATAATAATAAAAGTGTATTTTTTAACTGCATTATGTCATGTTATCTTGGTGAGGTCTCATAACTACACATAACAAATGTTAGGGTTATGTTATGTGTTTCTAAAATCCTCAAACCTCGGTCAGGCTCTAATGTGAATGCATATAGTGTTCTGAAATGAAATGCTTATATTGTAAAGCCTCTTACCTTGGTGAGGGACTTTTGATTTGCCTCCATTGTTACAAGCCCGGCACAACAAACTAAGGCACTAGAACTGGACAGGCCAGAGCTCGGAGGAATGGTTCCATCTACGACACATGACATCCCAGCTAAATGTGCAATCCCAAACTTCTCCTATAAAATACACAGCAGGAAGGTTAATTCCATTACTTATTCCATAACATTATTTAGGGAAAATATCACTTTACTACAGTATTGTAAAGTAGAACTAAACCTACCTGAATACCTTTTACTCCACAGAGAAAATAATAATGCCACTTTGGATTCTCTCTGTCTATGGCAATGTCCTCTGAACACGACACAGTGAAATCCCTGAAAAGCCAGATGACAAGGATCATGAAAACATGTTGATGGTGCTATACATGTACAAATACACAAGCATGTTGTAAAAAGTCAACAGTAGCCATAAAGTGTTTGAGTCTTACTTGTACTGAGGATTTGTGTTGGCCAGAGTGATCTTCCCTGAGTCGTTCACTGAGATGGCTGCGAGGATGTTCGGTTCAATAGCCATCGGAAGAACAGAATAACCACAATAATCGATATGCTCTCCTGTTAAAAATGAAACAGTTGACAAATTATATGATGAGACTAAATTATTGAACTGACATGGGAGTTGCACTAGTACAAATATGTGTGGACTTAAACTACAGATCTCTGATATTCAATATCTTTAAATTGATTATTTTCCTTCTGTTAAATTACACTTCTCTCAAATGTTTTTATTTATTAGTAGGATGAACTCACTTTCTACAGTACAGTACAGATATTAAGGAGGACCCCGCACATTGTTTTATTAGCAGAAGCCATAAGTCCAACATTTCTAACAAACATTTTTGAGCATTGAGCAAATAATAAAAATGTTTGTTCTTGGGGGTTTATTGTATCAGAGGCAAATAAAGCAACATCATCACCAATATGCTATAACTGACAGCCCATTGACTACTGTAAGTCAACAAAAAAACTAATAAAATTAAGATACCTATTAGGTTTACCCTTCCAGGTGCACATGCATAGAAGAGAGGAGATTTTCCATACTTTGTTTCAAAAGTATTTTTCAAGTTTTGCAGCCTGTAAAAGATTACAAACGAAGACATGAAGTAGCCTATCAGAGAGAGTTTGCTCCACATTTGTTTTCTCGTCCCTCTGACTCACTGACAATCAGCACATCTTCCTGCTACTCACCTTTCACTGGCAGTAATCGCAGTCTTTAACTTGGGTGGGTGTGTGGCCATTTCTGCCAGATTAAAGAAAACTATAAATGTAGGCTACCTCTTGTTGTCAGTCAGCGGAGCTCAGTGCTTTTGCATATCCTGGCCGCGACGCGATCAGCTGACTGTCACAAGAGGATCCCGGATGCCAAACCGCTGAACTGAGGTCAGAGTTTGTCTCAATATTCATATGGTAAAGTACATGTTTGTGTGAAATGAGCTGACTCTGAAACAGTTGAGGCTGCAGCGGCAAAAACACGGAAGTGTAAGGCCAGGAGGCGTGGTTCAACCATGGGATCAACCATTCAAAGGGGACGAGAAGACGTCACAATATAGCATATTATTTAAAAATTCAGGGTAAATTTTACATCTACAAGTCAAATAGGCTAATTAGACTGACTCCAAACCCAGATTTCTTCATTTTATTGTCCCACACATACTAACATCGTCATTAAAAATGTATAGAAATAAAAAGCTAAGATTTCCATTGCTTTAGAATCATTTAATTTAATCTTTCTTTAAAAGACCTCACAGGGGATTTGATTTTGAATATACAGAGGTTACCGATTTATCCTATTTTGTATTACTGCTGTTATGCTGTGAATAAAATGTTAAAAAATTTATAAAAACAGTAAAATTTACACATTTATACATTATTATATCTTGTAAATTTAAAATCAAATAATGCTATGTACAGTAAGTACTGATTTGAAGTCAAGAAGTATTCTGCAGTATAAAATGGCACAATCATACTTGCCATGTCATTATTTTACCACAAGATGGAAACATAATATTAGAAATAAAAAACTTTTTTACCCCGCAAAACTCATTCTTATTGCTTATAAAGTGACCTAAATGTTGTTTCCAAGATGAGAGTGTACAACAACAGTGTAGCCTAATATATGTTAGGCCTATGGTATGAACACAGCCTCCTACTGTCTTTGAATTGTTGTAAAATGATTAATAAATCTACCTTGCACCTATTTTTTATTCAAGTTATGGCATGAGAAACACACAAAATGCCAGATTGTTTTTTTTAACTTGCAATAGTCAATATACAAATTGTACGGTCAAAAATATGGATTAGGTCTAGACCTTTCAATTCAATTCATATTCAATTCAATTCAAATCAGCTTTATTGGCATGAATGTATAACAACAATATTGCCAAAGCTACAAATAAATTACATAGGATTAATTTCATACATTTCATTAAATAAGTAAATAAATCAGTAAAAGTTGTGTTGTGTGTGTGTTTTTAAAAAATAAAATAATTAAAAATATATAAAATTTAAACATTACGTGAAAAATAAAAGTATGTAAATAAAACAGTAAGCATGTGTGTTAGAAAATGAAAATAATATATTAAATTAAAATAAATAAATAAAACACATACTTTCACACAGTTTATGAGCAAGATCAGTGCAGCAGATTCTATCCATGGAAGTGGAAGGGTGATTGAATTCTGGCTTGTTGTGCTTTGTTGTGCATGATCACAGCCCCTACCTGTCCACATCAGGAAAGTTCAAGATAGACTATTAAAATATTTCTGCAAATGCAACAAATGCACAAATCGCACCCTGGGCATATGCTGTTTTTATTTTCTTTAGTAATAACCAACTAAGAGTATCCGCACGTTTCAAAGCTGTAGCTTTTTATTTCAGTTTTGACAGGTAAAGGTATGATTCATACCACTCGAGATGTTATTTGATGCCAAGGAAACACAGCGACTACATTTCCCATAATTCTAGAGAAACTGTTGCCATGGAGGCGTGCTTGGCTTCTCATTTCCGGGGTTGGCAGCAAGAACAATAATGTTTACGAACTAGCTTGTACCGTGCATGTTTTGTTACAGAGAATGGCTATAAAACTAAACTCGTATATGCGTCTGTTGAGATAACTGAGAGATAAGACGCTTGTAGTCCGTGTGTATTTGTTCACCGTCGCAGAGGTTTGGCGCTGCTAATGCGCGCGACTTTTCAAAGTGGGCGAGTCTGCGGCTCTTAAAGAGGACGTCTGACCGGGCCAGCCGGTTGTCTTACAAAGTTTAGTGCTTGGCCAAAATACATGCAAACCTTCGTTAAACTTTTTATGAATCTACATCTTTGATCGAAAGTATTTGTTCTAGCTCTTTCACGACCAGACCTTTTTCTTTCTCCGTCGGAGTCATTGTTGCTAAGGCAAGCTAATAACATGCCCAGGTTAACGGTGCCTCTTGTTAGCTAGCTTCACTGCTTTGTAATGTAAACAGTACTTAGCTTAATGTGGCCAGCAGTTAATAACGCCACGTAACTTAACTTTACCGTATAAGTAAAGGAATAAGCAATTGACCAAAAGAAGCGTCTTTCCCATTTATGCCAACAGGTAAGCTAAAGTTAACGTTATATGTCTGCTTTGACTTAAACTTTTTGCTAACTTGTAACGTTAATGTTAGCTAAGTTATCACTGACCTACTATAAGTAATTTAACGCCAACATCAAACGTATTACAAACATTATTCCTGGCTGTTTGTGATGTGTCCTCTTTGTTTTTGCACCTCTCTGCAGAACATCACCCTAACGTACATCAACAGGCTCTGCATCATGTCTATTGATTTTGACAGTGCGGCTCTTCAAACCCAGCATGATGAAGAAGAATACGACCAGGAGGACTATGCAAGAGAGCAAGAGGTTACTTATAAGACACACCGCTGCTGCACTGTGAAGTTGTTGGGATAACGTTTGTGTTTAGTTGTTGGACTTTGTTGTGTCACTTGCCAGTGTGAGTTTGGTAATGGTACTCTGTTAGTTTCTTCAAAAATATTCATGCAACTTTTTGAGCATCACATTTGTCAGGTCTTATGTGTTTTTCTTAGTGTTGTTGTTGCTCGGGAAGCAGTCAAGGTTTGAATGGCCTGTTTCACAGTTAGACAGGCATGCTGTTTTATTACTCACGCCTACAATGTGTTGCGCCATTAACCTGAGCTATTATTGGCTCAAGGAAAAAGGCCTCTTCCAGGTGTGTCACGCTGAAACTAGCTCTGCCCCGTTGTTTCCCTACTTTCTCTCTATTTAGGTTACTGTGCTTGAACCCACTTGTACCAAACAGAGCGAGCATGAAGAAACCTTCACAGGATGTTTTACCAGTGAGCTACAGAAGAATTGGCCTTTTGCAAGAATATTCATCTTGAGAATGGATTTTTTTCCTTTGGTATAGCCTATGTATTATGCAAGTTAGTCAAGTGGAAAATGTTTGCCACCGGTAATTGGAATGTTTCTGCTCCAGTTAACCTTGCTATATGTTTTGTCTAAACAATGGAGTTCTTTGGGAGCAAACACAACAGTACTGCAGGGAGCTGACAACATGCCAGGCGCATTTTGGATGGTATTCTCTGCTAGGAGGTTATCATGTGGCTTCACAGCTGAAACAGAAGTGCCTCTTAAATCTTTGTTAAATGTGTAAGTCGGATAATATGGGTCCTTCGGTTGTGGACACAGTGGAGGATTTGAGGAATATTCAACGGTCCTTGTGGGAAGTAAGTCCAGCTGGCTGTACTTGTTCTATCACATGGCTAGTTGTAAAGCAAGACTAGTCAACCTGTTGCTGAGGCAGTGGATTTGCCTTGTCGTTTTTGTGTCATTAAGAGCTAAGATATTTTGACAGAAAAAGACAAGTTGGTCAGTGTTTTGATTCTCAGTTCGTGTTTGAGTATTTTATACATACACAGCTTTATTTTAGGGTTGCAGCTAACAATTACCTTGATTGCTGATTAATCTGAAAATCTAACAGCAGCAAATCCTCACATTTAGGTATCTTAAACCAGTGAATGTTTGGAAAGTTTGCCTGATGAAAATGTATTAAACATCATTGATTAATGATGTTTAATACATGCTTATAAATGACACATACAAGAACAAAATAATCGTGAACACTAAAACCTATGCAAAATGTTTTTATCAGCTACACTGAGCCCTATTCCTCTCGAGACAATATCATTTAATCCATTTACAAATGCACCCCTGACACATTCTGTCTCTCAGGCTGTCAGCGATTGCTTCTCTGTGCTGTTTTTTTTCTAACTGTGTTACTTTATAATCTGGTTGCTGAGCAACCTTGGTGACTCATTTCCATGTGCGATTTTTCCGCAGCTACAGAAATTGCTCACAGACCTGCCCGATGACATGCTGGAGGACAGCAGAGACTCCTCCCTAGAGCTGGAGTACTCTACCTGCAGCAATAAAAACACTGGCAACAGGTAATACACATTTTGCTCTTGAAACATTAGTAGTCTGAGATTTACAGAACTTGAGTGTGGTTCAATACAATCAGACAAACTTGATTGCAGTGCAATAATTTAGCTTTTTTCCCCTGTCCACTCAGTCCACAGTCCACATGGACTCAGCAATGGTCAGCTCATCCAAGGCAAACCTCTCATGAACAGGTTGGTTGTCAGTTTGTTTTCGATGATTTTATCTTCTGAACTTTTAAAGGAAAGAAAAAATCACTATTACTGTCGATGTCTCCCTGAAGAACTATGAAGTTGACTTTGATCAACGCTCACATGATGAGTATGCTTATGAGGATGGAGCTGCTCCGATCAGTGGACATCGGAGTCATCCTCAAAGTCAACCTCTGCCTCACACCTGGAACCAGCAGCCACAGGATCATCAGTTTACCCAGGGAGACTATACATACACCAGCATAGGCACAGAGAAATCTACAGAGACAAATGATTTCTCCACCAATGAGTATGACTCTAAATCATACCCTCAAGGCACTAATAACGCTGTAGTGTATAATGGAGAAGTAGGAAGAAGAGACAACCTAAACTCCCGGGAACACACCAACGACAGAAAGCATTGTCAAGTGAGTGGAGTTTTATGTCTTTTTTTGTCATTGCAGCCTATGAAAACATCAGCAGAGTTATTGATGGTTCATTGCAGTGATTTTTGCTCCTGTCTCTTAAAGGATCACCCAGGATTAAATAGGCTTTCTGTCTGTTTTATTTTAAATGAGCTGTACAAACCTAAAATCTGTACAATTTGATTATGTGTTTGAGAAAGAGATTGCATTTCAAGTGTGCAACATTTTTGATCTTCAGGATTTAAACTCTGGAATGGGGGACAGAGTTGTAGATCAGTACAAGGCCAGCTACAATCCTCACCATCCTGCCCATCAGCCAAAGATGTTTAACTCACAGGCCGCTAACCAAGAAGGTCAACTTGACCGTCTGCAAAGAGAATTCCTTGACTCGACACAACGTGAGTCGTAAAGTCTTGATTTGGTTGGTGGATTAACAGCACGATTGTGACGAGTGACATGCAAATCACAGTAGTGTAATAGCTGACAAGTGATCATAGTCAGTTTAGCTGAACAGATTCATCCAAGTCAATAATCTGAATCTGAAATAGTGTTTTGTTGTTTACAACAGTTAAAATGCAAAGTGCCATTGAGCAATACACTGAACTGTCATCTGCTCCACTTTAGTTGTTCTGTGGACGATAATCCACAAAATGAGTTGTTTTAACTGATTAAAAATAATGTGCTGAATATGTCCATGTGCCAGCCATATGAACTACAGATATCATGAGCCTTTATCACAGTTTAACAGTATTATTTTAGAGTGGCGGTGTTTTAGTTATCGTTGCAATTCATCAGCCTCCAGACAAAATATACCTGAACTACTATTTGATGTGAAACACTAAGTTCAGTATTTCAGAAAACAAACAAATCCTTGTGTCGAAATAACAACAATTAGCTTATTATGGCTATTGTTATATGTCTCTGTCATGCACAGATATATTCAGCCTGACTACAGGTAAAATGTATTTTTATTGACATTGTAGCTGTGATAGCCTTAATATTCATCCGTATGTAAAGACGGAGAGCCTTGTTCTAGTGCGGCAGTTTATCACTGTGAAACTGGAGACCTAACGTGTTATTCTATCATGTTCACCCTTTCAAATGTAAGTGATCGATGTGTTGAATATACATTTTGTGCTGTATTTCAGAAACTGCTGATAGGGAGCAGCTTGCCCAGCTCCAGATTTTAAACAAGGCTCAACAGAGGCAAATTGAAGACTTGGAACGAAAGATGGAGGATTCAAGACGTAATATGAGATATCTCGAGCATCAGTTTGCAATAGTCAAAGGTATTTTTCAGTTTTTGCTTTCAATACGAGGTATGGGACTTGAAGTTAACTTTAATGCAGTACATTGCCCATGGAAAAGTAATGGGATTACTGGTTTTGTGACACTTTAAGGTTTGGAATTTAATGTTGTTGCATGTTGTGATTTATTGTTCTTTTTTTAAATTTATTTTCAAACATTTAAAAGCTAACATTAAAGATTATGTGGAAATTAAACAAATCACTAGATGTTGGAATAAATAAATCACCAACTCTAGGCCACTGTGAAGAGTTGTAAAGATTTTTTTTCACCATGTCTGACCCTTGTGTTTGTTTTTGCTGAGACACTATACAAGCCAAAGGGCTGGTTGTCTGTCAAGCTATAGCACTAATTGAGATTGATAGAAGGAAATAAAATTGGATGTCTTCACTATATATGCCCTTATGACTCTTAAAAAGACATTTATAGAAACTGGCGTTTTGTGTCCTTGGTCTCTTACTAGATGTGCTGTACAAACATAATCCCATTTTTTCCCGCCATCAACAGATGAAAAGGATGGGCTTGCAGTAAGTCTAAAGGAATCGAGTCGATTGGTTGAAGAGGCCAAGGAGAGAGAGGTTCAAATGCAAAACAAGTTGAGGGCAATGGAGCAGCAAATACAAGTCCTTACTGAAAGAGACCAGGAGGTAAGTTCTGTGCTGGTCCACACTACGGTTTTTCTCCTTCTCACCATCTTAATTGTTTTAAGCAAAATAGGAGACAGGTTATCTGTAATTAAGAAACTTGTATAAAAAAATCATTAATCTTTGAGAAGACAATAGATGGATAGATTGATAAGTACTTTATTGATCCTAAAGTGTAAAGTGCACTATCTGACAGTGCTCAAAAGTATACATAAATAATAGTAATAATCCATTCATCTATCTTTTACACACATGCAGCTCACACTATGGATCGACCGATATGTTTTTTCCGGGCCAATCCCGATTATTAGTAACCAATTAGACCGACGACCGATATACATTTGCTGTAAAATTTTTAATCTTTGTGTCAAAATTTATAACACAAACTCCAACACAAAACTTAAATTAAAGTTAATTGTCATGTTTAATCACTATAAATAGTAAATTAAATGAATTAGAGTCCATCCCAGAGATGGACTTGCTAACTATGAGTGATAAATTATTGTAAACTTTGTCTTTACCTGCTGCCCTTTATATTGTATTTATGTTATATTGTTAAGATTTTATTGATACATTTATTGGTTCTGTTCTTTATCTGTACTCTTATTAGTTTTTCATTACTAAATAATTGCCTTTTAGAATGTTATTTAAAAAAGAATACATTCAGAACAGTAATCAAATTTAACATTTTATTATAACTGTTTTCAGAGAAGCCATAAAAGTAAAGTTTACAGCAGCAAAGTAAAAATATAAAATCAATATCTCACTGGAAACAAATGGAACATGTAAAATAAACTATATTCCTGACATAAAAATACTGAATAAAGTTTAGAATGAGAAGACATCAGTCCCTATCAGTCGTACCTCCTCCTCCTCCTCCTCTTCCCTCTGCTGCTGCTGGAAGAGAGCAGCTGAGTTTACAATAATTTGCTAAATTTTAAGGTATGTAGCACGTGCTCGTGTAAAATCAAAACACAGCGGCGGTGGATGAGACAGAGCAGATTAAAATATTGCTTTGTACATGTTCCTGCTTATTGTACTGATGCAGTATCAGCTTTTACCAGTGCTGCTAGTTTTGCTGCACTTACTTACAGTAACAGGCGTAGTCATGGTCAAATTGTGTAATCAACACTGATCTGCTCCGCTAGCTCCACTCGGTGTGTGTGTGCGGAGCGCTGCTGAGAGAGGAGGTGAGAGGCTGCAGCGTGGTGGCTGGCTCGCTCTGTTAGCTACTTTCTCACAATAGTCAGTGTTGATAGGCTTTTACTGGTGACTTGTAACCAATCAGCTAGTACTGTGGGCGGGACATTGCTCCAGCCCATAAAGTGGTTAGTACAGACAGAAAGGGGCTGCAGCAGAGCCATAGGAGTATGTTTTTAAAATGACCGATGCAGATTATTGGAAAATGCTGAATATCGGCCACGATAATTGGCCAGACTGTTTATTGGTCAACCCATGGCTCACACATACACAATTTTACTTTGTTTGCAGAACATGAAGAAGCAAAGGGTGGCAGAGGCTGCAGTGGACAGCATGAAACAGCAGATGTTGGAGCTTTGTCGTTCCGACACGTTGTCCAGAACGCGGGAGCAGCATGACAGAGACCTTACTGTCATAAAGGAGCAGCATGAGTCTGCACTGTTGACACTACAGCAGAAACTAGACTCTACCTCTCAGGCTCTGAACGAACAGGTCTGTAGTGTTACTGTTACAGGATGCAGCAATGGCAAAGCTATTCACAACCCATAGTTTTGAATTCAGACAGATGTCCAGATTCAACATGCAGACATTGTAAAATCCTGTGTTGTTTCTTTTTGTGTTGGTTCTAGATTGATGTTGGTCAGAGGTTGCGAGAGCAGGTGAAGCAGCTGGAGCGCCAGAAAGAAGAAGAGCAACTGGAGAGAGCCAGAGTCGTTAACGCCCTCACTCAGCGTCTGGAGGAGAGTCAACAACAATGTGCCAAGCTGCTGCAGACAAGTGAGTGAAGGGGTGAATGTGGATTGCTACCACATTTTATGTATTTTGTTTGTTTGTCTGTTTTGAGAAGAAATTACAGAACACGAATGAGAAACTTCTCTGCAGGTGTGTTTTATTTTTAATTCGCTCAATTCCAAATAAGCTTTTCTTCTCTGTTGCGGTACTGTTTTCTTCAGGTTCAGTGCAGGAGACAACTCAGATGCAAATCAAACTACAACAGGCTCAATCAGCCAAGGCCCTGAGTGAAAAATGAACAAAGTCTTACAGGTTTGCTCTGATTTTTCTGCCCCAGAATGGAACCACTGTCAAAATGTTATTACTCAAAAAAAAGATTAAACCTTTAATTTTTTTTATTTATCCTGAAGGAGGATCTAGCCGATTTGAAGGAGCAGATCACTCTGTATGAATCTGCTGTGAAACATGGTGTTATTGCATTAGACCTGAGCAGTGACTGGGAGAACCAGCTGTCTGAATCCTGTGTGGATTTAGGATTAAAGAAAACAAACAGGAAAAATGGCATGCTTCACAGGTACACCATCATTATAGAGCAGATTCATTGTCATCTGGTCTTGCTGCACCGCCTGTGTCCTTTTGTCTTTGTGCTAGATACTGTGCTACCTTGTCAACTCGCAGTATTTCTACTTCATTGTCACCACTTCCATCAATAACCATCAAAATCAAACTTTCCCTACTGTTTGGTTAGCGCTGCCCTGGCTCACCTTTCGGACTCCAAGCTGCCCAAAGATGAAGCGTTGCGACTGCTGCGAGTGGAGATGCAGCGGTGCCTGGGTAGTCTGAAGGGAAAGCGGACAAAGATCAGTCAGCTGCAGGAGGAGCTCCAGCTCTCTCAGGGTCGAGTGAACGAGCTCCAGACCCAGTTAGATGAAGCCAAGCTCAGTTCTTCGGTGAGGACTCCCCTCTACATGACCAGACACAAGCAGTAATATTGCACTGCTGAGCAAAGCATTTCACACTGTACCTGTCCATACTGATAGCTATTACTCAGATTTTCATCTGATTTTCTGCTGATAAAAACAGAAATATGAAAAGCATGCAAATGTTTCAGATAAGAGAACAAACCTATTAAAACATATGGATCTGACAGGATTAAAGTATTATATTCTTGTATGTTTCTTGCCAACACTCTTCAGTTGTGGTGGCCTAAAAAGGAACAAATGTCATCAAAGCTCTCATAAATGGTGTGTTACAAGCATAAGTGATCATAAGAAAACTGCATCTGTGTTCACAGGTCAGAGAGACGAGCCAGATGAAACATGTGGACTTATGCGGAGTGCCTCAGAAAGAGTTGATGCGACTACAAGAAGACAATAGACACTTGCAGGAACAAGTGGAGGTTGGTTGTAGTCTACCGTCAAATGAATTATGTTCTTTTTATTTTTAGACTATAAGAAAAGATTAATGAAAGATGTGGTATATCCAAACTCTAGGTCTTAGAAAAAAAGAATAAGGAGCTGAAACAGAGTGAGGAAAAGGTGAAGTCTGCTAACTCTGAGCTTTGCACCAAGATGAGGGAGATGATCCAGGAATTAGACCAAGAGAAGCAGGAGGCAGCTGAGAGGTAAGACATGGAGGGAGGAAATAAGATTATATTAAACGTTTTCTTTACTTTTAAATAATCTTAGTGTGTTTTTATACATACGTTTCTGTTTCTTCATGGAGATCTGAGCGTATTCATCAGCAGTATAGGGACGATGTCGTGAACCGGATCAGAACGGAGCTCATGCTGGAACACAATGGTCTTGTTGAACAGCTGACTGCACAGCACCAACAGCAGGTCCAACAGTTACAGTAAGTCCTCTGCACCTGTCACTGAAAATCGTAGTTTTCTGGAAAACGTTTCAGCTCATACAGTACTTCTTCACAGGACCCAGCTGTCTGAGGCCAATGATAAGATGTTGGCTGTGCAAGAATGTTACATATCTGTCTGCAAGGAAAAGGACATGCTTGAAGAAAGTGTACGCAACAGGATGAAGGAGGAGGCTTTGATCAGGGAAAATGAGGTATGTAATATCAGAAACAGTTGGACGCACTTCTTACGCTCGCCAAACCTATAAATGACTAAACTGTGTTGATTCATATTAGTAAGTTATTTATTATAATTTACTTTTTTTAAATTTTGTATGTGTTGACTCATCTGGGATGCAAAGCTTTTAGTATTTTCTACTATTTGTTTACTGTATTGCTACACGCTGTATTGCACAAGTCTGTTTCTCACTGATTGCGTTGCCTGTATCCAACATTGAATAACTGTGGACTGAGAATGGTTTGGTTCTCATTCCCAGCAAAACATGAGAGAGGAGAGTGGCACAGCTATGGAGAAGCTGCGGGCTGAGCTTGAGGCTCAGCATCAGGCCTCAATAAACCAGCTCAAAGCTCTCTGGTCCAAAGAAAAGGAGACAGAGATCCAGCTGCAGGTGAACTCTCAGGTAGCCGTGGCCAAGGCTGCTTGGAAGGAGGAACTACAAAAGGTATGATTTCCTGAAATTACTATCCAGCTCCCTCAATTCCCTGATGGCGATTTTATGTTAGACCTGAAAGTTTTTACTGCTTCTGTGCAGATAGAGAAAACCTGGGTCCAGAAGCTGGAGGAGGCTAGGAGAGAGAAACACAGGGAAACTGCTGAGGCTACCTGTCAGGCAGATGAGACTGAGGCCAGCAGTGTGACAATTTCTGTTGAGGAGCTGGACTCCAGGCTCAGTGCCCAGAAACAGGAGCTGCAACTGGAAGCTGACAAAGTCAAACGCAAAGCTGTGGAGGAAGCAAGGAAACAAACCCAGAGAGAGCTACATGAGAAACACTTGGAGGACATGGCCAAACAGGTCAGTGTTTGTTTGTTTTTAATAATACTTGTGCTAGTTAGCAAAGTGCGAGTGGCACCAATTGGAATCATTCCAAGGCCACTAGACTTGCTAAGGCTGTGTTACATTTTTTTTCTCCTCAGTTTTTTCACACAGTTTCCCAGATAGACAACGTTTTATCTGATTCATCCCTCAATTATTTGAAATCATCAAATCAATTAGTTGTCCATAAAAAAATATATATACATACCATACTCTATTGCCCAAACATTTTCAGCTATTTTGCCTTCATTAGGGGTTGACACATTTAGTAGTGGACAGTTGTTTTTTCAGGTTGAAGGTGCAGTAACGAGGGCCTACAATCACTGGATTGAGGATTTCACTTCATTACCAGAATACCAAGACTCTCTACAAACAGAGAGGGAGAAATGGGAAGAAGTAGAAGAAAAACACACCGAACAAAGGGTATATAAAGGTTTTCTTTTTGTGAGTTACAAAATTGTCACTGCTGTCAACTGGCTTTTGTATTCTGATCATTTATATTTTAATTTGAATGTGTCAGATAACCCAGGCTCTGAAGGAGGCCGAGGAGCAGTGGCATAAGAAGCACAAGAACCAGTTGGAGGAGCAGAGCTCTGGAACACAGAGGGTGGAGGAGCTCCAAGAGGAGGTGGCAGCTCTCCAGACTCAGCTGGAGCAAGTGAGGAGAGAGCAAACGGCCCTACTGAAGGCTGAGCTGGCCGGAGCTAAAGCAGCCTGGAACAGAGACAAACAACAAGAGATCTCTGCCATGCAGCTCCGCAGTGAGCAGGTGCATCAAACCAAGGTGCAAGAGCAGTGCAAAAAGCTGGAGCAGGCTTTGCAGCAGGCCAGAGAGGACTTGGCCCTCCAGAAAAAGGAGCTGCTCTTGCAGATGGAGGCCAAGCTACAGCAAACGCTGAGGGCCCGAAAGGAAGAGTGGAGATGTCAGCATGCAGAGAAGGAGCACGCCAGCAGACAGCAGATGAGAGGAGAATTACTAGCAGAGCTGCAGACTGCTCTGGCAGAGGTCCAGGCACAACTTCTCAGAGATCCCAAAACAGATCAGCAGGACACTGAAGACATCAGGAGGAGCAGCGGGGCCACATCAGAGGGCACAATAACACACATCATCCAAACATTCTGCAAAGACATAGTCAACAGAGCAGTATCTCAAGCCAAGACCGAGTGGAAGAAAGTGAGTTGGGATTGGATTGTCTGTTGTCTAAAGAAGTAAGGCATTTTATTTGTTAATCATGTAGGACTGTCACTAGGCTTGTTCCGATTGGCGATTGGATCAGCTATCGCGGATTGAAGGGATGATCAGCGATTTGTTTTTCATGTGCCGATATTTAGGCGATTTTAACTAACTCACTATCTAAGATGACACAAAAACTGTCTCTAGAATCTTCACTCCACAGCAGTGTTTCCCATTTATTGATTTATTTGTGACAACACGCCACACCACAATATCAACGCCATATACTATTTAATATGAGTAAAATCATAATTGTGGACCTGCACATAGTGCGTAGATTCACTCAGCACCTCTGCTTGCTCGCGCTCTCTCTCTCCCCCTCTCTCACAAACACATTGAAGCAGAGCCATTTGTAACTTAATACATTCAAGTTAACTTATGAGAAGTTAGATTATCTATTTTCTTAACACAATGCTGTCAATGTCGGAGACCCACCTTCAAGTAAGTTATAAGCAAGCATGTATGGAGACTAGCTAGTATAGGTAGCTATGTTAACTTTAGAATACTGCTGGGTTGTTGAGGTTAGCACGCTGTACATAGCTGCTAGTTGATAGCTATTTACGCACCTAGTAATTCATTCTGTGGGAAACACTGTACTGTGCATTCACAGATGTTTCTGGTGGTTTCTCTTAAAGCTAAAAACCTATTTCTTTCATGCTGGCATTTCTCTGGCATGCTGTAACATAACACCGCCCCCTGGCATGTAGCCATGATTAGACGATGTGAAAATAGAGTAGATCGTCCAACCCTAACTGACACTCCACTATGCAGAATGATTCATTTACTGAGTCTGCAGAAGGCAAAGGTTAGAGCGTTCTTGCACAAGAACTACACAAAGCAAAAAAAGAAGGTCAAGTTATGTGGTGAAAAAACAGCAAAGGAAAATGATAAGCCGTCTTACACATAAATTTGCAAGCTCCCAAGATTTTACTAATGCAACATTCCAACCTGCAAGTGCAGGTCAGTGTGCGGACAGCTTCTCCTTTTCCTTTACCACAAGAAGTACTGCTATGATTAAATTCTGTAGCATTCAATTATGATTTGTCTGAATTTTGTCTATTTTATGAGGTAAAATGTTTATAATTTGTTTAATCCCTTTATGGTTTCATTCTTGCCCCCACAGATAAGTGAGGAGAGACTGAGTCATGTGTTAAAAGAAACACAGCAACAGCATGAGAGAGCAATCAGCAAAATGCAAAGTATGTAATGTGCTCTTGTCATCTCTTCACTCAGCAGGACATTGTAAAAAACATCCATTTTGATTAGACGGTAGTGTGATAGTGCCCATCAACAAGTTTACATGGCGATAACTGTACTCTGTTTCCAGGCTCTTTGTCCCAGAGGAAGGAGCAGACTCGTTGCAGAAAGGAGTGCTCTGAGACTGTAAGTAAGCTGCAGAAGAAGAACCAGGAGCTCCAGAGACACTTAGAGAAAGCCTGTCGTCAACTCCAGCACAGCGTACGAGAGCACAAAACTGCAATGCAGAATCTGAAAGGTATTTAATGCATTTTAAATGTTTATTTAAATGTCATGACTAAATACTCAGCCTAAGCAGTATCTATGTTGATGGTCTACAACACTGTTTATTGTAGATCAGTATGAAAGCGGCTTACAAAATGCAAAAGAGGAACATCTGCAGCAGCTAGAGGACGTCAAGAGAGCCAAAGAATCCTCAGGGTCGGTGCTTTTTTTTTTTTTTTTTTTTATCTTCTCCTTTTCTTGTCTCTTGTCCAATGAAATTAAATGTGGCCAGGCCAGGAATGATAAGGCCAAACACACAATAAATTTTATGGGTTTTTATTCCCCGACTGGACTCAAATGAGAGAGGGTTTAAGGCAGTTGGTGGTTATACAAAACACAGGAATAACTTTCTTACTCGTCCTTTGCTTATTGCATCTGATCTCAACTATGTGACTTAACAGTACTCTATAGTAACCCTTAACCATACCACAATATGTAATCTGCTGCCATAAACTAGTTTACACTCACTCTGGTAGACTTCAGTTACTTCTAAACAGGAACTCTAGACCTAAATTCTCAACAACCAAAGCTGTAAAATAGCCAAAATCTGGACATCTAGATTAGATAACACCACTCTACAACAGTAGTGGCCTTTCTAAATAGAGAAAAATAAAAAAACAACTATAAATAAATACATTTACTTAGCCACATAATGCATTGAGTTCATAAACTCAAGGTGAAATATTTAAATTTACCATAAAACATAAAATACATTCATTCACAGAATACAATTTACCCAGTACTTTGTACAGAAACTCTCTAAATATGAAACAAACATTGTTTATTTACAGCCTCAGTATAAATACACTAATATAATGTGATTTTGTTTGTTAATACACTTCATTGTCACTCACGCTGTCGCCGCTGGTCAGTCTCTTCCCATTGTAGTGCGCACACACACACACACTCAGCTATCAATCATTAGCAATCCGCTGGGACACCCAGGTCTTCATGCATCTACCTTGGTCTGCTACGTAGTTAACTCTTTTGTCTGCCGATCTTAAGGATTATTACTGTACTTTACCATGGAAATATCCTCCGTATCGATAAACCAAAGTACATCCCTTGCCGTTTCTCTACACCGCGGGACCAACACTTCCGTATTTCCCCGTGTCCCATCCTTCTTATATACAGTCTATGGTCCCATCGGAAACGCTACCCTCTCGCACAAGCCGTCCCATGTAGTACTCTTAAAGTGACAGTGCCATTAAATACAGAGGACAGTTATCGCTGCAATAACCAGCAACTACATAACATTATAACCTACATAACACTATTTAACTCTGTACCCCTGGTTCACCTGGCTACATAAATATTGTTTATATTGATATTTTTTATGCAACATGCCCTCCTTTCTGTGTGTATCAAATATATTTCAATCAATATACAAAATATTTACATGGTTAATTTGTGGAAAATTTATATAAAGGGAAAAATAACCGAAGTAGTGTGAAGTTTAGTGAAGCTTAATCTTTGTTTTGTGTGCAATACAAAGTAATTATTTTAAAATGACTAAAAATACACCTGGGTTCACTGTTGTGTGGTTACAGTCTAAAAAAACAATGTACATTAGTTCAGATGGTAGTTCTACAGACCTTTTGTATTTATAAAACCTGAATTCAGCAGATAATAGTAAGTTCAGTGTTCAGTGAAACTATTAATAATACTTCTTCTACTACTGCTTTTATTTAATATATGGACTTTCTTTTTTTATAAGCTCCATGATTAGCATGCTGTTAGTAGCATAGCAATAATAGTAGTTAATGAACAACGAATTTTAATGAAATGCAACACATTGTTTTTGCTTACAGGAATTCTGAGCAGCAACAAAATCTTCAGCAAGGCCTTGAGGAGATGAAACAGCAATACCTGATGACTGTAGAAAAGATCAGAGGTTGGTAATAATGCTGATTTTTAGAGGACCTGGGTTGATTTATTATAATCAGTTTTTAGGGACCTCAACAAGTAATTTTCTTGTGCATGTCCCAGGTGAAAAGCACAGATCACAATTGTGTTTGGGGTTTTTTTATGGCAGGAGACATGCTGCGTTACCTCCAGGAGAGTCGGGAGCGAGCAGCAGAGATGATCCGTGTGGAGGTGCAGAGGGAGAGGCAGGACACTGTCAGAAAGATGCGGCGCTATTATCTGACCTGTCTGCAGGAGATACTGGAGGACGGAGGAAAGACTACAGGGCAAGAGGCCATAATTGAACTAAACTTGGATGCTTGCTTCAGCATGACTCTTCAAACTAATTGCATTGATCTTCCTGTCTTTTGCAGGGCTGAAAAGAAAATAATGAATGCTGCAAGCAAGCTGGCAGCCATGGCTAAAGTACTGGAGACGCCTATCAAAAGTAAATCCGGAAAGAACTACAGTCTACAGAGTGAGTCATGTTGTGCAAAACTGCTTTGTTTGTTTCAAAGTATCAATTTGGTGTGAATCAGTGGTTTGCATTGACAGGTTGTTTGATGGCTCTGTCCACAGCTGACTGCCCTCCAGGTAGACACGCAGGTTTCACTAAGAACCTGTCCACACTAACTGAGCTTCCTGACATCAGGCCAGAGGAGGGACCCCACAGGGAAAAGACTTGTGCTGATTCAGAGCAGAAATCAACCGCAGAAGCAAGAACTAAACCTTTACGTTACCAGGACATTTCTGCAACTGGGAAGGAGGAGGCCTCCATGGATGCAGGGCTGAAACACCAAACTGCTACATACACACACCTCCGCTCTTACAAACCTCAAGAGATGGCTTCTCCATCCCAGGTGGATTTTGTCAGTTCTTCTGTGAGGAGTAAAAGCAGGGAGCTGTACCTGCAGGGAGTTGACAACCGCCTCGACTCAGGGCGACAGAGCAAACCCTTTCTCATCCAGGAGGCTCCTGTCCGAGATGAGAAGCGGACGGACTGGAGCATGACCAGTAGTGACTCTGACACGGGCTTGCAGGTCTCCACGCTTTCCTACTCAGGGAAGAAAGTAGAACCAGTGAAGCCGTTTTCTGCCAGTGACTTAGCAGAGTTTGGTGACCTCACCCCGGATGTTTCTGACATGACTGTTTATAATGAAATTGCCAAGAAGACACCTCATACCCAGACCATGAACTTCCACCATGCAAAGATGAGTACACACAGAGAGCCCACCCCCGGCTCTGAGGGTGAGAAGCAGCATGGAGTTTATTCCAGGCCTCTGTTCTCTGAGTTGAGACAGCGGCAGCAGGACAGCGGCTTCGACAGTCCGTTCTACCAACAAAAATGACAGTGAAGTAGGGAGCTTGGAACTGAACCATTTCAGTCAGCTGACCAAATAGTGCCTTTAATACAGTGTGTAAAGTTTACATGATGTAGAACCTTTGCCTTCGTAGTCGCCTGCGGCGTCTTTTTGTGTTGTGTTTAACATCGTTAAAGGAATAGTTTGGAAATTTTGGGAAACAACTATTTGTGAGTTGAAAAGATTCTCTCATGTCTGTACGCTCAGCATAAGGCTACAGCCAGCAGCTGCTTAGCTTGGCATAAAAACTGTAAACAAAGGTAATAAAATCCAACTTTAAATCTCACTAGGTAGAAAATTTTATCTTATTCAGAGAGCTGTTTTCCCCTGTTTCAGTTTTTTTGCCAAGCTAACTGGCTGCTGTTGGTAGCTTCATATTTATTATACAGACAGTCTTCATTTGACACTCAACAAGAAAGTGAGTGAGCATATTTCCCAAGCTTTGGCGAATGATTGCGTTGATGCTTGATGTTTTTGTAAAAGCAGCACTGACCACATTTTAAACCTCGTACTGGCCTGATAATCTCTCACTTCAGGCATAACTCACACTTAAACAGCAAAACAGGTTCTGTAAATATTTGAAAATATCTTTTGGCCTCTAACACTCCTTTTCACATTTCAGTTTACCTACTTATTGCACTGACTAAACCGCCAAAAACACCGAAAAGTGTTTTTCAAAGAAAATGTATTTTCAGGTCAGTTGCTGTTGCTCTGCCATTCTTAACCCTGAATCAGAGATAGGCAGCTTTACAAAACCACGTGTGCTGGATATGGTGTAGGCTCTGTTGCTTGTGCAACACTTATGTCACTCTGTGTTCTCTTTTCTCTCTCTGGGATCAGAAAGATTTAGAGACCAGTGATTCTGTGTCTTTTATATTTTGAAATATTTTATATCACGTCAATGAGATATGTTGTGCATAAATTGTAAATGTGTTTTTATAATTGGCTTTAATTCATTTTAATAAATCTTATCATATTTGCAAACTAAGAAGGAATAATTAGTTTATTTTAAAAGCTGAATTCTGACAAACATGGTGAAGTGTTACCTAAAAAAGTGGCCTGATTTTCTGATGTTTCTGGAGCAGCAATAGTAATGTTTCCAACAGCAAAGTCACTAATATTTCTGAATATTACTGAAAATATATCTAAAATGTCAGTAAAATATTCCTGACATCAAAATACTGTGAAGTTAATAAAGAATGAAGAACTATCAGTCCTTCCTCCTGTCCTCCTCCTCCCTCTGCTGCTGCGATTCACTGCCTGCAGGTTATAAGGTTACACTGCTAGAGGAGCGGATGTTTGTCTCAGCTAGCAGCAATTAGTTTACAAGAATATACAATTTTAAGATTACCATGTTCTGGTACAACCCCTAAATAAAATGCACCTGAAAATGAGCATAATGTGACCACTTTAAGCAGCCATCCTTTCAGCTAGAGTTGAGCTAAAACAATTAGGCCCAAGTAATGAGTTGATAATCATCAAAAAAAGAAAAGAAAAAGTTGGATGCCAAAATGTCCCCCAAATACACTGGTTCCCCGTAGATCACACTGGGCTTCAATCAATCAATCGAGAATATCAATAATGAAAATAAGGCAACCTCTCAGCTTCATGTTCTTCAATCATAGAAGAAGGAAACCCAACGAGTGAACTCAAAACACATTAAAACCCAAATAAGTTTAGAATGCTCAAAATATTTGTGGAAACTGATTATCTCAAACTTTTATAATATTTTAAGTAAACCTTAGCTTAAATATAATACATTTTTAAAAATATTTAATTTCTGCATATTAAATTGATTCCCTGATGCTTATTAAAATTTAATTCCACTAATTCTTTACTCAAATGTAATTGTGCACAACTGAGGGAAATGTATTGTGCTAGACTCAAATACTAATGGAAACTCACTCTACAAAATTCCTACTAGTCAACTTGAAATTTACAAAATGCCCATTTTCAGATAGTAGTCCTGAAAAATACAAATACAACTCTGTTATTACAATTCAAGTTCCCTTTTAGTGTCAAAATCTTAAACATCTTTCATTTTTACATTTAACAGACACAAAATAAGGCACATCTTGCATAAAGCTGAATAGACTAAGTAATTGACTGCTTGATCAGATAATTAACCAGCAACAATTTTGATAATTTGTTTTCATTCTTTTTGCAATAATGTTGAACATTTCCAGATTCTTAATGAGATTTTTTGGTGTTAGGTGATAATAACTTGAATCTCTTGAGCTAAATAAAATTTATTATATATTTACTATATTTTGTGGCAAAAGCGACTACGCATAAATGTGTAGTTTTATGGAATCATAAGCAAATAAAGATAGCTAATAAAGATTGTTTAAAATAAGAAGTTCCACACAATGCAAATTGATAGTCAGGTAGATGAGGTAATGGAACAATATCAGGGTTTCTGCAGGTTTCACCTAGTCAAATTTAAGACCTTTTTAAGATCATTATGAATGAAATTTAAGACCTATATCACGACTTAAAAAAAGAAAACAAAAGGAAATGCAGTCACAAAATTACCTGCAAAGTCAATCAATGTATTCAAATTAGGGTTGAGTGATGTCTACAAAATTGGCATCGGACGATGTCAACAATGATGACCGGGATGGATGATGACATTGATAAGCTACGTAATTAACAAGCTGGCATGTGGTGCACCTGCTGATGTGAAAAATGGATCACCGGTAGAAAAACTCAATATAAAATAAGAGTTCTATGTCTTTTTGGAAACTTTATAAAACGGAACCTATGATACTAATACTGTGTTTGACCCCCTTTCGCCTTCAGAACTGCCTTAATTCTACGTGGCATTGATTCAACAAGGTGCTGAAAGCATTCTTTAGAAATGTTGGCCCATATTCATAGAATAGCATCTTGCAGTCGATGGAGATTTGTGGGATGCACATCCAGGTCACGAAGCTCCCGTTCCACCACATCCCAAAGATACTCTATTGGGTTTGAGATCTGGTGACTGTGGGGGCCATTTTAGTACAGTGAACTCATTGTCATGTTCAAGAAACCAATTTGAAATGATTCGAGCTTTGTGACATGGTGCATTATCCTGCTGGAAGTAGCCATCAGAGGATGGGTACATGGTGGCCATAAAGGGATGGACATGGTCAGAAACAATGCTCAGATAGGCCGTGGCATTTAAACGATGCCCAATTGGTACTAAGGGGCCTAAAGTGTGCCAAGAAAACATCCCCCACACCATTACACCACCACCACCAGTCTGCACAGTGGTAACAAGGCATGATGGATCCATGTTCTCATTCTGTTTACGCCAAATTCTGACTCTACCATCTGAATGTCTCAACAGAAATCGAGACTCATCAGACCAGGCAACATTTTTCCAGTCTTCAACTGTCCAATTTTGGTGAGCTCTTGCAAATTGTAGCCTCTTTTTCCTATTTGTAGTGGAGATGAGTGGTACCCGGTGGGGTCTTCTGCTGTTGTAGCCCATCCGCCTCAAGGTTGTGCGTGTTGTGGCTTCACAAATGCTTTGCTGCATACCTCGGTTGTAATGAGTGGTTATTTCAGTCAAAGTTGCTCTTCTATCAGCTTGAATCAGTCGGCCCATTCTCCTCTGACCTCTAGCATCAACAAGGCATTTTCGCCCACAGGACTGCCGCATACTGGATGTTTTTCCCTTTTCACACCATTCTTTGTAAACCCTAGAAATGGTTGTGCGTGAAAATCCCAGTAACTGAGCAGATTGTGAAATACTCAGACCGGCCCGTCTGGCACCAACAACCATGCCACGCTCAAAATTGCGTAAATCACCTTTCTTTCCCATTCTGACATTCAGTTTGGAGTTCAGGAGATTGTCTTGACCAGGACCACACCCCTAAATGCATTGAAGCAACTGCCATGTGATTGGTTGATTAGATAATTGTATTATATATATATATGTCGCTTTGTATAAAAGCGTCAGCTAAATGTAAATCTACTGAGGTTGAATTCTAACCATTAGATTTGGGAGAATTCATTTGGTTAGTTGTTCTCCACAGTGATTTTATATTCATTGCACAGTTTTGAGCCTCACCACCATATAATGGAAGGAAAACACATGACCTCAGAATCATTACAGATAGGACAGCTTTTTGTGTCTTAATTTACTGCTTTATACATTTGTAGAAATAAACATAAATAATAGGCAACATGAGAACCACCTCCCTTCTGTATAATTACAAGCATTTCATTTGTACATCAAAATCCAAAAGAATAATCTCCTCATTAGCTTTAAAGGACTAACGTTAGTTTGCATCCCTAATTTGCTTTAACGTTACTAACCTCAGCTTCTCCGTAGTCAACACCGTCCTGTCTTTTTAATTTAACTATCAAGATGTACAGTACAGGACAGAGCTGTAACCTGACAACTTAATGCTGATCTTATCCCCCGCGTCACTTTCTGACGCTCTCTCCCTCACACTTGCTTGTCATTTGAAGAACGAGGATGTGCTGTTACCGTAGCTTACTGATAATCATTAACGATTGTGTGAAATTTGAATAGTGGCGCTCATTCATTAGCGACAGTAGGCTTCAAATACTTTGCTAGAGACTGGTTTTAAGGGGAAAAAAAACAAAAACATTCTTGAGCGCTGCGGGGCCATTTCAATGAGCATTACAGATAGCGTTACATTGACCTTGGAAAATAAATACCCGTTTAAAATTATTTAAGACCTAGAACACAAACTTCAGCGAATTTAAGACTTTAAGGCCTTAAATGTTGATTTTGAAATTTCAGATTTCCCGCGGAAACCCTGCAGAACATCTACCTGACAGGTGCTGTTATCAGAGCAGCTCCTTTAATCTGGAGGTCTCAGAGTGTTTGATTGTCTGAGTGACACAAAGTGACGGTGAATCTCAGAGGAAGAAAATATTCTGGCAGTAAACGTACGGTGTGTCAGGTAATAAATGCTTCAGCTTTTCCAGACCAACAAAAGTCTGATATACAAAATGAACATCATGCGGTGTTGAAGAACACTTAAAACCAGCCCCCTGCTGGCGGTTAGAGAGAATGCATGTTTGAAGCTTCACTTTTCAACCCTGGAGATTCCTGCTTGGTGAAGACACAAAGCTGCTTCCTGGTTACACAAATCAGACACATTAAATATCAAATGCATACCTCATCCCCGAAGGACCGGGGTCTGAGTGAAGACTGGCAGAGACAGACACAATCAATCAGCTATCAGTTATCAGTACCTCCTGAAGCGATCAATAAGCCTGTGTATACGGACAGTTGTTCTTGGTGTTGCTCAGGCTCAGATTTCTCCATTGTAACGTTACTCCTGGGGCAGCCATCTAGCTGTCCCGGTCCGGTCATGCCTCGACCGGCATGAAGCTCAAGTACTCTATCCCACTGCTGCTAACATTCCAACGTGCATTGCAGCCATCAAAGAACTTGGACTTCAGCGCCGTCCGCGTTGCGTCCACAGGAGTTCCCGTCGAAAGTTTATTTACAATCAGCCTGGCCAGCCTGCTTCAAACATTCCATCCATCTGGACCACTGTCGCATGTCTGCTGCGTCATCAGAGTAGTGTCGCTCTCTGTGCTAGCAGCACAGCAAACATCACGAGATCTCTCCACACCAAGCAGGCCAGAAAACATGGAGTGGATTCCAGTGTACTACGGCCTCTACAGAGATTCACCACAGCATCAACACTCAAAATAGATCTTTTCAATACACAGTCCCTCACAAATAAAGCATCCTTCATACAAGACCACATCATGGACAAGGGATTAGACTTCATGTACCTGACAGAAACATGGCACCAGCCAGGGGTTTACTCAGCGCTTAATTAAGTCTGTCCCCCCCGGTTACAGCTACCTGGAGAGAGCCCGCAGCGCTGGTTGTGGACAGAACTTGGCTCCCCCTGCCTACACTGTCCTCATTTGAATTCCTAGCATTTAAATGTAAACCCCCCCCCCTTCCCCATGACAATGCTCCTCATCTACCGGCCCCCCAAACCC